CATTAACTGTAGTGTATCGGGGTTTATAGAGAAATAGTGAAGCTCAGAATAACACGCTTCCACTGACGATCGGAAATCACTTTTGCAGAGGAAACATGAGCCTCGTTGAATGTCCGGGGTAAGGGAACGTGTGTACCTAACATGCTCTTGTTCTGAAAAGCAGGAAGCTTATTGGGGAGTAAGGTATGATTGTTTGGTTTCATATTCACATGAAGGACACACGAAATAAGGACACTTAACTCGCTTAGCCGCTAGACTTCTCGTTGTCCCATGTAACCATGGCCCACGTGAATTTCCTAGCAGGTGAACTATGCGAGCACTCGATGAGTATTGAGGAGGATCAGAAACCGGTAGTTATCATGATTTTGTCTTCCACATCAGCAGACATTGGCGACGTATTTTTCCCTGACCACGTCTAAGCATTGACTACTTGCCCAGGGTTAAAATGAAGGTGCTGTAATGGTTTTTGCAAAGAAGCTTTGAACTGCCACCCTGACGGTAAGACTTACGGAGAACGTTGGAGAGGATGCCTGATGGTGAACAAACAGAACTAGATCATTGTTTGATTGTTTCATAATAAACGGCAATTTTTTGACAGACCACCGCAGTGTTCAAATTCTTACTTGGGAAAAGTAATCAAGCGGGTGACCGAAGAGAAAAAGTGAGCAGTCGCATTTGAGGATCTCTTTTCTCGCGGCAAGTCTAACTGCCAGGCCCTGAAGGACAACCTCTCAAACATGAAATGACCACGAATGGAATTTCTTTGAGGTACGAAAACTGCCGTGGTAAAATGTCTGTCAGGTTCAATTTCCAGAACCGATTCAGTTCCATCTTGGAGCGTCCATGTCGGCCTATATCACAACGAAAAATGACCTATAAGGCCGTAAGTGGAAAAGGCTAAGGAGCATAAGGACAAGACAGTGCAGCTGTTGAGCACACGATTTGACAAGGAGCTTAAGGCAGCTACCGTTCGGCCGTTAAGACTAAGTTATCTAGAATAGTCCCACGGGTGTGATGCAGAGCTGTATGACATAAAGGTTTCAGCGCACTAAGTATTCACCAAGCTACATGCTCCCAAACAATGGGAGCCGCCTAAGGGATATAACATGCTGACAGCTGAGGTGCCTACAAAATCGTTTCAGAGTGCTAAGCACGCCCATAAACGATTTGCTTGCTTACTGGCTGAATGTTAGTCAGTCCCCTTTCCATACTCTCTAGGGAATGGGAGCACTCTTTCCATGCAGTGATCTTCAAAGAAGGCGGCCTAATTAGTCACAGCAACTTAAAACTGACTACGCTGCTGCTTATTCCTGAAGATGTTGGGGAACGTTTGGTTGCAGGTGCTGCACATAGCCGTACAAGAGCTGCATCATCCTTTCCTTTCAAACTACTTTCGGAACCAGGTAGTTGTGCATCATAAAGGTGATCAAGTGTAGTTACTGGAATGCTAGAGGGATAAAGAGGTAAACAGTCCATACCTCCCTTTTGAACCCCGTCAAAGTCGTCGACAGTCTATCCCGTACAAGAATGCTGACTGAACCTATCAAAGTAGATTCCATCGAACCACTTACAGCTTGGATTCCGGTGAATGTAGAGGACAGGCAGTTACGCACCCGAGTAAATAGAACCTGGTCGACCAGCGGCTCATGGACAGAATTTTCTAGGAAAGCGATTCACAAGGCACTTCTTCTTTTGCTATTTATAAATGAAGTGCATATGAGAGTCTGCCCATATAACTTTCTGTTTGCCAAGTGGGGCCACGAGTAGGGGGGACTTTACGATACCTACATCGTATGGGGTCTTTAAGTGTTTTCTACGGTAGCTCTCCCCCTTTCAGCCCTGAGTACATGCAAGCATTGTGGAGAAAATGCAGAGAAAAGCGAGGCCGTCACTTATTCTGTGAACAACTCCTACGACATGTTGACCTTCTTTTAAAAGCTATGGATAAAAAAAGTGACCAAACGACAGCCTGGTACATTATCCATCAAGCGAACTACACTAACAGGCAGACGTTTCCTCTGAAAGACCAACAGTTTTACGAGAACCCCACGCGGGTGCCTTACCAGAGGGCTACAGTAATGGTTAAGTTCCTCACAGAGTATGCGCGGCTTAGGACGCTCTGCTGAAAGAAATAACTGCACCCGTCTCAGCTATCTCCTTGGAAAGAATAATTGATGAAGAAATAAGCATATATATCTTATCAACAACATATGGCCCTAGTAACTGGCAGAGGATTATCCTCCCGTCTGTTGCCCCATCATAGCATCCGCATCACTGAACAAACCCCACCACACCATGCACGTGACCGCTGATATTTTCCGTCGGTAACTACCTCTTCCGTCCTCTAATTTTCCTCTAGCTACTTTATCACACATGTAATCTTTCAAATTTTCCTGGTTATAAGCTGAATGCTTATTTCTAGGCACTACTGGGGTCAGGAATTACCAAACGATATCCCAGCACATTAGTAGCCCCACCGCTCCTGCCGAAACATATGGCTTGCGGTCAGCGACCGAAAACATAGAAGCCTGAAATCACAGCTTCCAAAGCAATAGGTAGGTAAACTGGGGAGACTTGCATGTTTGGAAAAACAGTGCAATCAGGTGAAGAGCATCCAACCTGAACATTAGTCCGGGGATTCAAAAACTTTCAGTTTACCATGTTCGCACGACCGATTTTGGGTAAATAATTGTTGTCTCTTGTTTCCGTCAAAATCTTGATGGGTAGCGAATTTTGTCTAAATTGTGCATTTGAAGTTAAACAATGATGCAGACTCCATGGAACGTTCAGTTTACCACACATGTGATGCACAGGATCGTTTTTGGTGTTTGAAATGATTTCAAAGTTCAAACAATATTGCATCCCGACAAGTGTACAGTGATACATACACGTCGTGATGCATGTCACATATTCAAACCAAGTGGCACATACCTAGAGGCATCTGCGGTAGATAAAGATCCAATTGCCTTTGTCCCTCGCGATCTTGAATTTTACCCTAACTGACGGTAAGATATTGCATGCGGATCTTGTGCTCGTAACAGCGCGACGAGTTTTCCGACGGTTAGATCACAGGTTTTTCTGCCGAATCACTGGGAGTTTTGTACGGCCTCAGCTGAAAGCTGGAGCTGCAGTCTTTCTTGCATTATATCGATTAGGTAAACGGAGCTTTTAGCACGCAGCCACAGACGATTCTGCAAATCTGTCTGTCGAATAAGCTTTAAGTCAGGAAAGTATGACATGAGTGAATCTATATGCCCTAAGATATATATGACAGGAAGATGAAGTAATAATGACACATAGCGCTTAATTCCTCATAGGCCATACGCTCCGTCATTTGCCGAGGCTAAGCTCTGTCGCTCATCTTAGGGGGAAACCTACTCAAGTTAGATCTTGCCTGTAATATGACAAAAACTGGGAATACGTGCTACCCTTCGTGCACTGATGGCGCTTAGAAGGCTCACATCGTAAGAGTTGTTAAGGCTACGTCAACAGAGTCCTTCAAACACAAACTTACTGTTCACCACAGTCACGGCCAGACAGCCACTAAACTTGACATTTTCGTATTCTTTGTTCTTATGTCTAAGTTCTTAGATAAAGGGACTAGTGGCACACTGATTATACACGCAGAAGCCACTTAAATAAGAACTTTCGTTCTACCAGCGAACATTCCGACCTATTTTGGCTGTGGTTCCAGCGCGCATTTCAAGATTTATGATACCCTTAAGTCATCTTTCTGGTCCGGCGGCTAAATATTTCGGTTAGCTGTAGCTTATTATTATTTTTTTGATAGATCATTGGTAGTATGTCTGAAATGTATATCAGTGAAGCTTAACTCAATGTGACTACTCGAAATGAGTTTTGGATCCTTTGTTTATATATATATATATATATATATATATATATATATATATATATATGTTCAGTGCCTAAAAGACGAAGACAGAATGCCTGCTGGCTGATACAAATATTTGCTACTAGTACCACTGTAGCGATCCAGTCTCGTCCTAGAATTGTATTTAGGTTCTGTGAATACCGTCTATCTTCACTTTCACTTGCCCGCAATCCAAAGAAATTGACTGTAGTTAATGGTTTAGGCTTTTTGGTTATGTGTTATCAGATGATCACTTGGCAGCGGAAGATAACGACCAAAGAAACTGGTGGAATTTATTTGGTGTAGATTCACCAAGAAAGATGACAATTCGTCTGCTTTATTTTGTCAGTATGATTATGCAGTCCCGTTACTGGTCTCAAAATCATCCGGTTCCTTCATTTAGGTAGCCTCTATAATCATTTTGTATGACTAGTATGTTTACCGGTCTCAGTATGCTACGTTTCTCGGAGTTATCCATTTTCTGCTGTACGCTGAAACCCGTCATTTTCCCACCCTTTCATAATTTTACCTCCTAGTGTTCATCGTGAATGGATGTGATTTAGATCCTGCCATTTGGTTTCTAATGTAGAAAGTACACCACGATAAGCAGTAGGTTAACTTTTTTATCCTTCGTGCAAGTGATTTTGTTGCAAAGTCGCGACTGACGTGTCTGACAAGCACTTATTTTTTAGGTTTACACCTAACTCACTTGATAAACATGCAGCCTCAGCCTGATAAACGCTTTAGTATGCAACTTTTATTGCATTAGTAGTAACTTAAACGTCTAGCTTTACATTTGCATGGTAGTTTCTGATCAATATATTGTCTAAGCTTTCTTGTCTATAGTGTCGCAGAATGAAATGAGTGGAATTTATAAGCTTCATAATTTGATTGACTAAAAAATACCCGTCCGTTGCTTAGAATTATCCGTGTGCCAAAATAGTTCATATTTTTAAACACCAAAATTCTATTGTAGTCTCTTTTTAAGCTTTTCTTTGCTTTTCAATTGCGATACTTGTAGCAAAAACCTTTTGTAATGCATGCGCGCAAGCCTCAGTAACGTCATAATTGAAGAGAGTTGGAGAACAGACCTTGTCGTAAATTTCGTCCTCAAGCTCTAGGTATTAGTATGGGAATCTACGGGTTATGGGGGATTCTCTCTTCTGTTCAAGAATATCGTCCATTGGCTGAAATCGGCTGTAATTCGGTTGCTGTCGATCTCAGTATATGGATTTGTGAAGACAAGTCAGTTGGACCTTCGCCCACATTACACTTAAGGTAGGTTTTTCGGAGGACTTAAGTATACTCTTTTCGCATTTTAGTCACCGTTACTTTATTTTCACTTTTGATAAATGGAAATGTGATTACGTGGCGAAGGGGTGTAATGTCTTTACGATCTCGAATTAGCAGACCTACCATCATTGTATCCCTTAATTAATGAATAACAAGGGAGTGTTCGTATCAAACAAATCGGCAATCCGAAAATATGGCTTTCATCTGCCTAGGACCAGAGTGTTGTTCGGGTTGATCACATGATTGTAACCGGCATGTTTACTATACACTGGCTTATCAACACTAGAAGAGTTTCAAAAACTGATATGCTAACTCCACTTTTCAGTTAGTTGCACACTGAGTATGACAACGGCTACCAGATTTACAAAATGTTATTAAGAACCAAATAACTCTTTGCATCCTAATGGCACTCAGTGTGTGAACTTAATCATGTGTCTATGCGACTTTCGTACATGAAAAAGAAAGCTATAAAAAACATTTTGAAAACCGCTTCTATTTCAAAATGAAATAGATGTTGGAAAATTTCCTGTGACTGAACAGAAATGATGTGTATCAGTTATCTCTAAATAGCCTTTCAATGTCAACTGTAACTATAAATTCATCGTATAAGATGTATAATCAAGTTTTCAAGTGTTACATATTCTTCTAAACTTCGTAATCAATAATCCTCCCCAATTTCATAACAAGTGAAGCCTATTGTTCATATTTTTTTTACCGTAAGTGTGCAAATTGTCATATGTAGACCTGCCAGATACTTTTCCTCAGGAACCTCGGTAGACAGTAAACATGATCATTTTAGGTTATTTATTTTACATAGTATACAGCAACAGTGTGATATGCAATCGGTTCCGCATCACTTAAGCCTGCAGTAAGGTTGTGTTGGACTGTATTTTACTTATCAAGGTGCTAGTCTTACATGTAAACCACCAGTGGTTGTAGCAAGTAGAACCGTACCACTTTTATGATTTGCAATCACATTTACTTTCTCTGAAACTGGAATTTGATAAATTCCTCTCCATCGGAAACCTACCGGTACTAATATCTTTCAGGCAAACTCCTGGATTGAAATCTCACTCTACCTTCTTCGACCTAGACAAACAGGCAGTTACATTAAACGTCATAGCTCATAGCTTGGTGTATTATGGTGTACTGGTTTTTTTTTAGTAATAGTACTTCCGTTTATGCGACTCTGTAGCCTATTCTGACTCTATGTAACACATGTTATCCTCCTGGGAAGATGCTGAATATGTGCGGAAAATGTAAGCAAGCCCTTGAAACCATTTTGTTCGAAAACTTATATGTTTTAGATTCATCAGCATCACCACTGCAAAACAAAGTAGAGTGGAACTGGAATGAATGCAAAATAGAACCTCTGGTAAAGTACATAAGTGTAGATTGTCGTACTTAGCAGCAAAAATGGAAGGATCGGTAAGAACAGTAAAAATTATCCCAACAATTAAGAATATTAGTTAAGGAGAAACAGGAATACGAAAAAATATTGTTAACGATCTACAGAAAAACGAAAGGTGACTACATCCATATTATTATGATTGGTACTCACCTATATTATGCAGGGCCTCCGCGCATAAGTCCTTTGGTTTCCAAGGATTTCAGCTGGGTAGCTTACAGTTTCACTTGTGACTCAAATTAAAACCCAGTGATCGACATGTCAAAGCTGTTGTAGCTGCACAGTTGTATCGATATTTCAATACTTCCAACCAATTGAATGCATTTAGTGAGACTAGTCATAGATGAAGATGAATTGTAAAGTAGAATTTTGCAAAGTGGGTATAAGACTCTCATGTTAGATATTCTTGTTTCATCATTGTGGTCGCTAAGCTAACTAGCTATTACAGCATTCTTGCACAAGAACAGTGGCGTTTCCGTTCTTCATTACGCGAAGTAGCTTTTTAGAGAAGATATCGGTCCACCAAAGTCATTTCTAACCACACCTCTGGATAGGGATCTGAGGGCGAACTTGTACTGCGGGCTGATTGCGAGTGTGACAGCAGTAAGGCATTCTTCTCGGATGACCAACAATGCCATGCTGATTCTACCTTCCCTATGAGAAGTAGGAGGAGGGTTAAGAAACGTTTGGTCCTAAAAATTGCCCACCCCTTGCTACATACCGGTGCTGGCGATGCGGATTCGTAGGTGGATTTGAAAGCAAGTAACCAAAATCTCAAACTTCCAGAAGGTTATGTGTGACCGGCCTCAAGCAGATGTTCGTTCGGTCCTCCTATCACACAGTAACCCTTATTCATTTACCTCAAGAAGTATTCGCCTTCCACCGTGTGGACATTCGGAAGGTGTCAACTGCCCTTAAAAGTCAGCACTCAGATTCTCTCATGTCATTGTCCACCTTCCCACATCCTTACCTTCTAATCTTACCTCACGTCTCTTGCTCAATAATCCTACATCACCTTTAATCTCTCCCAACTCTCTAGCATTCGAGATCAATTTGAGTTCACGAAACGGTATCCGTGGTTTTCTGAAACCCCCTTTCAAACTACACATTAAATCCTCCGTCAAATCAGCCAACTAGCTTCACTATCCAGAACTTTGGGATCTTGGGCCATGGATATGTGCTGTGTTTCTTAAACACTTATAAGTGACCCAAGTGTGGTTTTCCGCATAATCCCATCTGGTCATTATGGTGGGTCTGAGTTTCTGCAGACTCGATGTTGCATTCTTAGGGTCTTGTATGTGTGGGTATAACATTAAGTCCTAAAGCAAAAGTGTACTGGTTCGACTGGATCTTTTTTAACAATCAACTGTGCTGTGTTTGATTGAAAGGCAAAGCGGGGGCTAAGAGGAGTAGTGAAACTCGTTTTTACCCCTTTGTAATCTCTTCTTAGACATCCACTGATTGCATTTCGGAAAAAATGAAGTATGTGTTCGATAGAAAACTGTTAAGCCACCTACTGAAAACAAATTGTACTAGTTCAAGTACGTGTTTGTCTGCGTCTAGATGGAAGTTGGAAAAGCTACAGTAACAAGACCATTGCGGGTGCAGTCCGTCAGTCGGAACATTAAAGATGCTTTCAGCCAAAAACTGACTAGACAGTTATCGCAACAAAACAACAGTCATTCAGAAGAAGCCTGGTGTCATCGCCAGTCTGCTGTAAAAACGCCGTTAAAGGCCATAGTTGGCTGTTAAAAACACAATGTAAAGAGTACCAGGGAATCTCAGCAACTTCCGAATTAACGGATGCGCGTGAACGCATTCGTACAGGCGCAGAACACAGTGATAAGCGGAAGCAACTTAAATGTAGACTGACAAAAAATCCACGCAATGACAGCGAACAGTGATGGGCAACAAAGGTTAAAGAGATATGGAGACCAGTACCTTTGAGAAACAGCAGACAGTTACTTATACTTCTTAAGGAAACTTATGCGAAGGTGTCAGGGGTTGGTGAGATTACAGCGGAGAAAGGTGGATCTGCAGTTCACTGTCAGTGGATACGATGGGAACAGTAGACTAAAAAATCTAAGGATCCGTTCAGCTCACGTCAATCTACTTTCCTGTTGCCTGCTATCCAGCGGGATCCTGATTTTTAACACCGAGACAGGTCCCCCTAACTCTTGCATAAGGTGAGAGGTCTACAAGTAAGTTGAAATGAAGTAAATTATCAGAACCAAACGAACTAGTAACGGAAGTGTTTAAGAAAGGTGACCGTGGATTACCGACCAGGTTAACTGAAATGATGGAAGTCAGATATGATGTGTCTAAGATATTCTAGGTTCTGTCATCAAGCGTCTAAGAGGACCTCGGAAAAAGTAAACCCCAAAAGATCAGGCTCTACCAGACTTGGTTGTAGGTGTATCGACCACATCTTCACCCCTCGCCACATATTGGAAGTTAGACACAGTTACCGACACCAGCTATATTTCTTGACGCAAAGGCAATATTTGACTCTTGATTGAGAGTTCTTATGTCATTGCCTCAGCGAGAGGGGCAGTGGGAAAGTACATCACCTTCTTGAAGGTGCTGTACTGCAGTACCCATGGGTGTGACAGAGCCAATGATGAGTTGTATATGTCGAGCTGTCTCTGTCACTGACGCTCACTCTGTCCATTCTTATTCAACTTTGTCATATAAGCTCTTATGGAGGTCTCCCTGTAGTCATCTGACAACACAGGGATTAACCTGATCACAGGAGAATTTATGGTAGATCTAAAATACCCAGATGACATAGTCCTGTTAGGTTAAGACGCTGACTAGATGCAGTCTTCTGGACAAACTGAGTAGCAATTTCAGAATGTTTGGGATGCGTTTCTCTCTATTCAGATGGGAATTGTTTCCCCTGGACTGGTCTTAGGTGATACTCTGTCTAACAGTAGGAAGTGAAGTGATTGAGTACGTTGACTACTTCATTTACTTTGGAAGTCAGATCAATCTTGGAGGCCCAGTGACTGATGAAATCTCTGCATACATACAAAGGACTCGCTTGACATTCTCCAACTTGCGCCATCCTGTTGTCGGTTAGGTGTTGAGTGTACCGCGCCTCAGTTCTACTCTGTTTGTAAAATATAGCCTTTGAAGGAGGAGGATATGAAAAGGCTTGATGTGTTTGACCACCATAGCCTTCGTACCACAGGGTGTGTCACAGCATCAGTAATGTAGAGGCCAGGTGTAGAGTTTGAGGGTGAAGAGTAAAGTTAAGGGATGCGGCTATGAACCTTTGTCGTCTCAGAAAGCTGGGACGTGTGCTTTGCATGCTTAATCACCACCTGTCTCATCGCACTTTTTTTGGGTGAAGTAGGTTTAGGCTGAAAAAGGTTGAGGAGTGGTCAAGCAAAAATATGTCATAATTGCGTGGTCTTTGATTGCTGGCCTGAGTTACGTAGGGGGATGCAGACTTCCTGGCTCACGATCGACCTCGTTGGCGCATTAATCATACCAAATTCGGTAATTTCTGATGCCTCCCTGTTATATCATGACTTTCTAGCACTTTTAATTGGTTTCTTCCTTCTCTATTTTTATTCGTATTGCTTTGTTGCTTGATGTACTGATGTGAAGTGTGGTGAATTGGGCCGTTTCGCAGTAATGCTTATTCCTATGTTGATCTTGTTCGTCTCCCTCTCTGTCTGTTTGAACCTTGTAAAATTGTTGATTGGTTGTTTAGATCGCTTAAGACCATAAAAAGTTAGTTGTAGGAAAATCTCGGTGATATTCCTCACAATTGGTCGGTCACTGATGTATGCACTTTATAATTTTTGAAACTGTAAGCAACTTAATAACGTTCATTGGTTTATCCTTTCTCTTCTGATATACTTTTCTACGTCATTATCACTTTTATACACTTGCTCTTTGTGTTATGTGGAATTTGGTAACGTGAGTAGATACATTTACTTGCAAGATTCTATGTTGCTTTTTCTGTCCATAGTTGAACATAGAAATAATTGTAGGCGATATTCTATCCTATTACGCAGTTATGAAATATGTAGAAACTAGTTTTTTCCAGGTGTTCAGCTATAACTGCCTTTTTAATATCGTGTGCATTTGCTGGGAATACAAACAACTTGTCTTCAACTTGTTTTTTTAGTGTTATTGCTTGTATTACACTGTCGTTGACTGGACCGAATTGATCGGTCTCTATTGGCATATGGGCTCCTATGCGGATGCCTCGATATTGCCTGCGTTCTAATTATATTAATGATGGATCTTGGCTGGCTCTGGAATCCAGTATGCACATTTCGTCCTGTTTGGGACTCGTCAGCTGGATGTACCTGCCTTCCAGTGAGTGATATTGTTCCCACCGATGTAACACAAGCAATAACACTAAAAAAAACTATACCCGTCGCACAGTAAGTGGCTATCGTGGCTCAGTGGTGTAGTGGATAACGCTCTCGCTTTTGAAGCGATCGCTCCCGAGTCCCGGTGGGAACAACATCGCTCACTGGGATGCAGGTACGTCCACCTGACGAGTCTCAAACAGGACGAATGTGCATCCTGGATTCCACTGCTATACATGATCTATCATTAATATAAGTTCAAGTTGGTTTGTTTGTATTTCACGTTTTCATTAGTGCATCTATTTTGTGTTATCAAAAAGATTCTTACCGTTTTAAATAGGATATATACTTCATTCCATGGAGTTGTTAGTTTGCATACATTTAAGTCAAAAACCAATGCTCTGGTTTACGCATTCAAATTTCAATCACCACATCATAAGTCCAAACTCGTCTCATTTACTGCGGCCTGGAAAACTATAAAGAATCACTATCCTTCGCTTACTAGGCTTTCGTGCATAAGTATAAAACGTAAAATATAAAAAGTATAAAACACTGACTGATACTAGCACCATGTTTAATTTGCCAATTTCATGTGGCAAACAGTGGTACAGTATTGTTCACTGGACTATGTTTCATGCATGAATTATCGCTAATAATCGTATCAAAGTAATCACACCACTTTCGTTATCTGATTTTTATTGTCCTACCACCCTTTTATCTTTATTTTCAGTGGTAGTAAAATTTTCCACATCTCCAGTACAGATGTTTCGTCATTGCTTTTACATATGTTAAATGTTGACTTGAACAAAGATTCGGTGACCAGTTTCTCTCTTCACCTACATATACTGATTTAAGTACAGTTGTTAATCCCACCTTATTGTATGGTTATATTTCAGTGCATGCATTGCAAAAGCTGAATTTTCTTCTAGGTGATTGATCGTATTGGGGTCTATCATTCTATTTCATTGCATTTAATACCAACCTCATATTGTTCTGCTAGTTGGAAAAAAACCGTACGATATCAATACGTCAAAATAGTATAACGTCATGTTTAAGACTGAACAGTTATTCTTCTGTGAGCTGTATTATAGCGGTATTGTGACTTACACCCTGCATAATCCGCATCATAAATTTGATGTGTATTATTTCAGAGACTCAAAGCTGCGAATCATTATTCTAAGTCAAAGCAACTCCAACTCTCAACATTTACGTGCATGATCACATACTAAGTTGTTTCACACTAGTGAGCCTTGTTTGAAGTTTTTTATGTCTGTTTTTTACAACAACTTTTGCATAGTCCGAACCTTTTTCACCCTACGATATCATTATTTTTCCACCTAACAGGAACTTGTTTTTCCGGTTGGTTGGCCTGTTGCGTCAGAATACCTTGCCTGTTGTCGTTCTGGATGGTATTGCTCCGTCACTAAAGTCAGGTGTTATGGAGCTAAGGCAGCAAAAACAGTGAGTCATTCTTACCAAATAATGTGGTATGTCTTTTGAATTAAGTAAAGGGATTGTAATTTTCCGTTTTTTATCTGCTTATGTCAAGCTAACGCAACGTGATCAGTCATCTAATTTTTATGAGTGGTCCTAAGTTCTCAGTCTATCACTCAGCCATGGAATGTTGCGATACTGATTTATTTCTCTGCGTTACCGGCATCTACATATGCTTACTTTTCTACATACTATTTATTGGATAACCGCCTAACAAAACTGTTTTCGCACAAGCTGCACAATCAAAAGTAATCTTCACTCACCATTAATGTCTTCAAAATACGTCACCTAGTCATGTTAACTAAGTATTATTAGCTAGGATTGACTAGCATTACTTTCTTGTCTTGGAGCACCTTTCTTGACGTAGATTAAGTGGTGATATCGCTTCAAATGCATTTGAATAGAAGAACGAAAATAAGTTAACTCGAAAGCCACTGTCTGTCACGCTTTTTAGTGATTAATTTGAGCACAATCCGAATAGTGGGTTAGCTAAGTACTTAGTGGTTGTGATTTTCCACAACCAGACAGTTGGGTAAAAGTTCTTATATGATCAGAGTGAGCGTACACAATTTACAAACCTTTAAATGGGTATAGTTCTAACTATTCGTGTTTCGAAAGTGTCTTTCAGTTACTGGTTCCGAATAAATATCCATATTTACCTTTGAAATAAGAGGAAGCATAGTCTCCTAAGTAACCTCTACAAACAATGGGTTTTGGAAGCCTGGGACTTGTAGATGGTATTAGCAGAGTATTATGTTCTTCATATTTGAGTTCGATGTATTTGACCTATGCTTGCATGGTATGACATTTCTATTTATTTTTTACTATCGAAACAATTAGTTATCACTGCGGAATCAATGTTTGCATGAATGGTCCTACTTCTCAAGGGGTCTAAATGAGATAGTAACTAGTCAATTATCAGACGATTCTATACCATTTTATTTACCCTTTAGAAAGTAACATAGATGACTGTCGAATTTATAATTTTTAGACTCATCTTCATCAGCTCAATCCTTCCATGATTTTTATCAAGATGCTTTATCCTTATAGGAGTAAAACTTGGCCACTGTGGTAGATTGTAATTCCATTTTAGTCTGTTTATTAGATATGTCACACTGAAACGTTATCCAGTAAATGATATTGTTTCACTGCGTGACAATTCTAATAAACAAGTTAGAATGGAATGTTTAATTCTCATTTCGTAGACAACGCTCATGTTGTTAAACCTAGAAGGACGATTACTAGACTCCAGATAAAGTGGTGCACAGACTCCGAAAGTCAAGAACAAAATTTCATGAAGTTTATTCGTAAGGCAAAACTGTAACAGGATTATCACTAGTATAACAATAGCAATAATCAGTGCATCTAAGTGTATCGCTTCCGTGGGGAAAGTCACTGAATCACTCACTAGGAAAAGCAAGATTGAACTAAATAATCTGCAAATGATGTACGGTTAAAACAAAGGCGACTCCTCTTACTAGCGGACTACCCATATGACTATGACCAGTCCATATACAAAATCAGTTAGAGAAACAAAGATAGCCAATCTGAGTGAAGGTTATAACTGCAAAACGGCAAACAGGTATAAGCGATTAGGACTCATAACAAATACAGAGAAAGTGTAAATAGACCACAAAGAACGGATGAGTAGCTGGGTTGCATCGCAAATATAGTTTGTTGGGCGCGAAGATGGATACAGACAATCAGGCATAATATTTTTAACAGCTTGTGTGACTAATGTGTTTGGGGATGAATAAAAAATTCTGGATATTGTTTTCATGCTTGTCGACATTCGTTACCCAGTTCTGCAGTTATATAGGTCACCGTTGGAATCTGGTTTCTAGGGTTAGCACCAGTGATGATGTCATGGCTGCAGGTACATTTTGCTTATTGTGGGCAATTAGCTTGAACCCTAAGTTTAAAGCTTCCTACGGATTGCCCCTAACCAACTAAAACCTGCCGAAGTATATATACCACGATAGTGAATCTCCCGACCTGATGGTCGCTTTACATAATGATCGATGAAATTCGGTCACCACATAAGAGACTTGATAACATGATATTGGTTACCTTCGAGTGACCAATAAATATGCTTCATAGCTCTTCGTATTCCTCTGGAAGTACATACTTTCACACTTCACTTTCTCTGTCATTCATACTACAAAATTCATTTAGGTTGTTTAACATCTGCAATGTTATCACCACTTTATTTCGTTTTATTAGTACTGGGAAGCCTGTTATTCAGAAAAATGGTAAACCGAATCTAAGTAGAACACGATTCTCAAAAGTGTCCCAAGAGGTAAGGAGTGAGTGAGTATTTTGTGTTCACCATTTAAAAAATAATTTACTTGGCTGAATTCAATAGTCTTATTAACTTCTTGTAGGTTATTTCTCATACGAACTTCAAATGGTATTTTATAACAAAGGTATTTGACTATTCCATTTTATGATACAGCAATCGACTATGGTATTATCTGTCACTTGTTGAACTTTTGAAGTGCACAGTCCATTATCACTTTAAAAAATAGTACAGTACGTGATATTCAGTGTATTCAGCAGTAAGCTGATATAGTAAGTGGTGTAATTGCAAACGTAAATGACCGTTCTTTTCATTCATAAACTAAATTAGTCCACCTATTCCTGTTCAAATTCGACAGAAGAAAGCTTACAAGCCCATGAAATCACTGACTGTCAAAATGAACTATTCTATTACTATTTGTTGGTATACTTATAATACTCCGTTGTTATACTGGATCGAATTGTTCGGTGTCTATTGACATATATGCTCCTATGCGGATGCCTAGATATTGTCTGAGTACTTACCATGATAATATACTTGGTTGTGGCTAGCAGAGGAATCCAAGACTCGCGTTCCGTCTTATTTGGGGTTTCTATCCTTCCTCAATGACCTATTGGATAACGCTTTGGCATATAAAGCAGTGAGTATGAGGTTCGAGTCTCAATAGGAACAACATCACTCACTGAGGTGCAGGCACCTCCAGCTGACGAATCCCAAATGGGACAAAACGCACGTCTTGGATTCCTCTGCTAGCCACAACCAAGTAAATTATCATGAACCATTCTACATCATAATTCACTGACATGACAAAAATTTAGTGGAAAGAAGTTGAGTAGCCTGGTTTTCCTTTTTGATAATACTAGTAGCAAAAGTGAAATTAACATACCAGCCTGCTAACTATATGTTATACAAGAATATCTGTTTACACTAAAGTAATTCGTGATGTCGAATATAGTAAGCTGACTCCTGAACATCAACATATCTTTTCAGTATATCTGCTAATCACTAAGCTTAAAAGTAAACGTTATCTTTTCAACCATGCTTTTCCTTCTGATATCAACATATACTTTTTGTATTTTGGTAACTATTTCAGTTACCTGTGACTTATGGGTGACTGATAGTTATTTTTTTCTCTTCTACTTCTTAGTGTATTGAACTTCTTAATGCATTCGGTGTCCCTTGGGTACAAAGTCCTGGAGAAGCGGAAGCTATGTGTGCCTTGCTTAATTCAAGTAAAGTATGTTTTTCAGCGCATTTTACGAATTTACTGTTGTTTTGTTTTCAGAACAGTAGTTCATTGGCATAAGCATTGATCAATAAACCATGAAATTATGATGCATATATATATGTCTCATCTCGTCAACTTGGATACACGTCATTTGGTTGTATGAATGTATGAATTATACTTAAAGACTACCACTGTGTATTCATGCACTGGTCGTTTACTGCCACACTCAAATTTGAATTTACTGTCGGAAACCTTGTTTTCTTTTGGTCAAGTAATACAATGTTAGTTGGTTTAATATCCCTATAACCAGTAAAAATAAGTGTGCGAAGAATGCTGTTACGAAAAGAGAGGGGATATGTTAACCCTAACAAGAGCACACTATCTAGTCATGTAGTACTGGAATTTCGATAACCTACAAATGTGACACCACTTCGCATCTACAACGTGTATTAAATCGAGTGGAAGATTTTCTTCTTTCCGTACACTGATAAATGGTTTTAGCTTCTTTCTAAGAGAATAAACCCGTTCTTGTAACTGATTACGCCTAATCCGGATAACCTTCCTTCCTAACAAGCCATATACCCTCTCGTCCTACTCTTTGCCCATGCTGTGGTTAGTTGGTAAGTACAAACTAGATTGCAGAAGCGAAAACAGCACTTGGTTAGGAAAACAACACATAATTTCCTAAACTATATTTGACAAACACCTTGTATCATCTCTTCGAAGTTATAATTTTCATCCATGACTGTTTTCTGTCTATATCAGTATACTTGGTAAAAGCATTTTAAACAATCTAAGAACCAGGCTTAGCCAAGAGGCAGATTATTATGTTCTTCCAGTTTTCACTCGTTACATAACAGTAATCATTTTCTAAGCTTACGTATTTCCAGCCATCCGTTGTTTGTCATTGCGAAATGGAATTGTTTTTTTTTATTTTCCCGCTCTTGATTTCTTCCGATTAGTAAACTTATATCACTTACATCGTTTATGCAGTTCCCAAAGATTTTGTTTTGGAATCGCTACCATTGTTGCATAGAAATTTGAACGAGATGTGGTTATCAGAAATATTTTAAGCGACCTGGTTTCGGATGCTGAGACATATTCAATTATCTCATCTCTATCAGTGTTAATATAGTCGAAAAGAGAAGTGTAATATGCACGAAAGTTCTTGTCCCTAACTACTCTTATCTGCAGTTACGAGGTCAAATATGTAGGTCAAAGTAGTCTACCAGGGTTAATTAGGCTAGCTAAATCAAGATTGTTAGGCCACAGTAAGATAACGAATCTAGAGAAAAGCTCTGCCAAATTTATGCATGCAATTACACACAACCATACAGCAGGATAGAACAGAGTGACAATCCTTAAAACCAAACTTGGTGAAGTGAAGGGCAGCTTGATAATCGAACATTCGCTTATTGATTGGACAACACGTACGTGCAAGAGGAAATACTCAGCACCTGTCCCGAATGTATAGAAAAGCCTACTACCTATGTCACAAAGAAGGTAAGTGAATTAGAACTATATAAACCATGTCTCAAAGTTGTGGAGTTACCATAATGTTACTATGGAGAATAAATTTTGTCCGAAACGTTATCCAGTGAATAACTATTCCACTGTACAATACATCTGATAAGTCAGTTAAAATAAAATTGGACTCTAACTCAGCGCCCAGGTTTTGTTGTTATATCAACTTATCTAGGATCCTTTGTTTAATCGCTCTGCTGTCTATACACTAGACACATCAGATACTTTCCTTGCACCGAAAACCTCAATCTTTACTGTTGGACTGTGGACTGTACCCGTTTTACCAACTTTTTTTATGTTCAGTGGGCTGGGCGTTTAAACTGTAATAAGTCCGTTACAAGTTCGAACTCGCTCCACTAGCTTTAGTTTGAACAACTGTGTAGTATGGTTATGGTTGTCATGTACTAGGTGTGACCTATAACAACGTAGTTCAATGACAATGAAAACTTATTGATTAAACTAACATTATGCAATAAAAAATTGTATATGTCACATTGTAACATTTGTCTCAGATCCTTTTGATATGTAATATGTTTATCGCCATGAAAGAATTTGTTGACTAGGAAGATACTCTTTTCTTACTCAAACTTCAGCTTGTCGATGCTTGCATCACAAATGATGGTGATGCTTTTCTTTATGGAGCTGAAACAGTTTATCGTCATTTCTCTATGGACAGTCGGGTATGTGATGAATGTGATAGATATTCCATACCATTGGTTTATTTTATGTATCACCGTTGTTTGTTAGTTGCATAAGTGAATAAAGTTCTTTTTATTGTAAAATAATATTAATGTTTCATATTGATATATCAGCTTGTTATTTTTACAGCATCTTACCGCTCACTGTGCTGCTCCCCTATGAATGCATATATATCCCATTCTATCTCGTGACATTTGAAAATACATTAGTTACATGCCTAGTTGTATATGCGGGTATCATATGCTTTCCGTAGCCCAGCGATACGGATTTTCCGCGTGAATGTACAAGTGATGAATATTCATCGCATCTAATATTCTAAATACATCTAGATGCAAAATGATGACGAATATTTGTAGTTCAGACGAATGATATTGATATTTTTTTGCTTTCTCTTAGCTGAGTGGTTTAGTTGTCAAGCTTTAATCATCTTTCTGGATGAAATCATCAGCATTAAAATTCATTATGAAGTGAGATGTCGCGATTTCTCCGTGAGTGTTCAGCAGCTTATCCTCTGTTTATATGAACACCAGCTGGCTATTAAACTTCACGAAATTTCATCTTTCATGTGGACAACTATGGTTATGATTTCAACTTTGAAAATGTTTCAATTTTGGACAGAGGAAACACAAATTGATACCAGAAAATCCCCAGAAGCTTGTCCTTCAAGTCTACCAGCGACCAACAGACGTAGAAACGTAATCCCGACCTATCAACCAGTAATAAAAGTGATAAATAATCACAAGATCAGAGGTCAGGCAGAAAAAAAGACCCACAAAGAAAGTCTTTACAGTCAACGACACAACAATCAAACAGCCCTTTGTCAGTACAAACTGGTGAGTTACTGACGAAAAAATCCTGATAGGTCACTTCATATTAAAGTTAGTTGTGATGATGTTGTCTAGAAAGACAAGGAAAGCTTGACGACTAAGCTACCAAACTCGGATAACACAATCAGTAAATTTATATGCAAATTTCAAACTTATTTCATCTCTCGTATATGAGCAAATTTCTGCTCCCAACCATTCATAGCACCGCCAAACGATGGTTAGTATGGAAACCACTGTTGCTGCAAGCATAACACAGTTCTTAGTTACCTCAGTCAATTTGGTAAGATAATATATCGGACGTTATCCACTATGCCTGTTAAATAAGACTTTGTCAACTAAAATTTTGAGTTGATAATTGGTGACACTAACAGTAGACTAGGTGGGTCATGTATAAATTTCTTCATAAGACTGGATTTTAGAATCTAAAGCTTCTGGTTGACCAATTGAGCAATATGTATGACTACAATAGCATAACTGTGACCTGTTCATAAGGTAACGGGAAGCTAATCAAGGATGAAACGAAGTTCACCGAACACCTGTTGAGTTCTTACCACTGGAATGCAGAAGTGGGTAGCTGACTTCGTTCCAAAGTAATTGAACTTTTCAATTCCCATACCTCCCTCAACATGCTTGTGAGGTCTTTGATCAGAATCTCTCTTCAATCATAAAACTAATTGGAAGTAGGTCGCTAAAACTGGGTGCATTATAGATTTTCAGTGCATGAAGTTCTGACTATTCGCCTTGTTGGGTGGGTCTGTGTCAAATTATTCAAGAAAGTATTTCTTATACAACATACCTCAACTATTATACGAAAGGTACGTGGTACTGTGCAACCTGAGAATTTGCGTGAGCATTCGTGGAGTAGGTAAAAAGTGACACCGATTTTGTGAGTGCGCTTGATACTACCTGGCTGCATAGACATTTATAGGCACAGTGGGGTTTTAACTGATGACCCACTTGTAAGTAAGTCGAGTGCATAGATCGAATACCTCCAACATTCAACTCAGTAGTCTTCATGTTCTACGAAACAGTCTAGCAAAATTAAGATCTTTTCGTCATAACTCGTAGCTAGGTGAAATTCACACATTGTTTTTACCTTCAGCATCTAGAAATTTCTGCTTTCCAATAATTTAGATCTTACAACTCAATGGTTATGCGACCGCTTGCATATGATATCAACACGGTCTTTGTTCAGAACTAGCCAGGATGTACCAAAGTCTCATTTTTGAAGTGTAAAGCTCCTAAAATAGTATCATATTCTAGTCGCTGTGATCTGTTGAACGAAATCTGCCAGCCAACTTGTCTGGATAGCGATTTTGTCCAGCCGAGTATTTCTTCTGTATCATCGTTAATTTTTAAAATGACGACTTAATCACTAAATATACCATGTTAACAGTGAGCTTATTAGTGAATGCAAATGATGATTGCTCTAACCATGTCTTATTTTCTCGCTCAGGACTCCAGTGTTCGTGTTTTTCATGCACACCGTATTCAAAAATTATTGAATTTAACAAGGTCCGATTTAGTTTTGCTAAGCCTTTTGTTGGGTTGTGACTACTGGCCAAGTGGTGTCTCTCGTCTTGGTCCAGCTGGAGCACTACGTTTGATTACATCGCTTAAATCTGAAATTCCGAGTATTGATGAAGAATTCTTTCTTAAATTCTTATCCTGGCTTATAAACAGCCCACTGAAAAGTTGTGAAGACTTTTCATGCAATCCATTTGGCCTTTATATGAATCCAAACGTCATAAAAATGTGGCTGCGTGTTGGTCTCGAGTTAAAAAACTGTCCATTTAAAGAAGTAAGTTATACTAAGTGAAATATTTACTTGTCGCGTTTATCTGACTTATCTGAAACAACCACCTTTAACATAGCCTTAATATATGCTTATTGAGTTTGTCTGGATATCGAGTTTTTCTGTTTGAACAACCAGCGATGAATAATTGTTATAGCACGCATTTCTCTGGGTGACCCAGGTTACCACATGCATACATTGTATTGCACCTTAAGCGATTCACAGCCAAGAATTAACAATACAGGGCTAAGTGTTCCATTGCTTTAATTGTAGAATTGTATTTTACTAAGAAAGTGTTCGTGTCAGTGGAAATCATTAGTTAAGACTGCTAGTTTTTATAAGTCATAACAGGCTGTATCATATTTCCATTTTTATCTTAGATACAAAATAAAGGAGCCTTCTATTTCCTCTTATTACTTATTTGTCCCTTTCCGTGGTCATTATATTCTTAAACAAGTGAAATAAGAGAAAACCACCAGCTAACCTATCGAATGTTTCGCATATGTGGATCGTCATCCTTTGTATGTATTCTCCTTTCAGTGAAGCATGTATGATTTGAGACAAAATCCTTACCAAAAAGTGGCATACCTTTCCTAATGAGTCTACCATAACTATGCAATTGTGGTAACTGGTGTACTGAAAATCTGTAGGAAGAACGAACCAAGCGGAGTGGTGTTTCTGAATGCTGACTGAGTGGATAAATGCAACTGTAGGATTCAGTATATCTGTAGATTTCTTCATCCTCGCAGTTAATACTGACGACGCAGACTGTAGTTAATTTATGGTGTAAATACAGATAACTTGGTGCAAAACTCCGTCTGTTTTCAAAACAAAAGATAATACTTTAGTATAAACACAATGCGTAAACAAAGAACCTTTTTAGAAAGGTAAAATATATGCCGAACATAAAGGTTTAACCGCAGTCATTTTTGAGCATATACGGAAGGATTAATTAAAAAACCCATCAGACTAGTCTATGGTAGTGGGTGTTGACGCAATCAGTTAGGTTTTTCACAACCGGGTCAGAAGCTGTTTACCATTCATTTGGAAAATTCATCAAGGAGAATAGATAAGTGAAATAAAAGACATAAAAGACTGGCATGAATTGTTGAGATATATTGGTTTCTTGTCATACCCTATGATTTAATTCAAGCAGTTTGAAATGTGCACAACTTCAAACGTTGTTACGTGAACTTCACTTGTTGTTGGGTTATCCAGCGGTAACCTTCGATTTTCCGCCCTAGGTCTTTCAGGCATGTGATTTATTACCATGAAAGGTATTCATTTTTTGAAATACTTAATGCGTAATGAGCTTGTTCAAAATCGACTACTTTAATCATCCCAGCTGGGATTATGTTGAAAGTTGATTTCTTAATGATTAAGGGAGAATCATGGCTCAAATTCTTCCAGGAAATTCGTAACATCTGTGGACTGAGTGTTTGTAATTTGTTTTTTACCCAATTCAAATTATTTCTAGATATTTGCCGAATTCCTAACAAGCTTTGAAAAACGTCACTGGACCCTACCCAAACGTGAATCAGTCTCTCATTGGAAACGACCAGACCCAAGGAGGGTTGTGCCTTTCTGTCAGATGCATTTAAATTGGGATCCTGTGTATACACTTCAACACTTTTTACCTATTATGGCTCTATGGGATTTGAGACATCCGGAAATTTATAACGCACCATCACCAATCAAATCATTGATAGATAATCAAATTGATGATTCTCTGATTCTAAAGCCATTAAGGTATGATTACAAAGTGTACTTATGTAATTTACGTGTTCCTCTTTTGCTATCTTTATGTCATATCGAAATTCGTGAGCTGTGGCTCATTGATTTACTGAGATCACTTTCAACCTATGGGTCACGGGTTCGAGCCCTACCCCACCTACTGATGCTTGGGAAACCAGCTATTATCAATAACCTTCACACAATATTTGTAGCTCATTGCCCTTATTGCATGAATGTGCACAAGACTGTTGAGTCCGATTCGACTCGAAATAGTAAAAAGCTAAACCGGAGAAAGTTATTAACAGACTACTTCCTTAGAAGTTGAATGCAATTCATCACATCACTGAATTAACCTAGAAAACTTGAATTTCGTTACCGTCGTATTCATTGGCGAACTAAGCCTGCGTAAACGAAGTATTAGCAACTATTGAGCGAAATTTATTTCAGACTGAAGAATTCAGGCTTGTATGAATTGAATAGAAGCATTTCCAATACTGAGTCACTTTTCTTTGAGTGAGATTCTAGTCGAAATAGAAATTCATTTAGTATATCAATTACTCAAACATGCTGATAAAGTGATAATTATCGGTTAGATAGATTACTTTATTTCGTTGTATTTCTTTTCTCAAGAACACTACCAATAGCCTTACTGTTAAGTTAGTTTCCCAGGAGGATACCAAGTTAAGCAGCGAAAGCATGACACCAAAGATAATAAATCAAGGGGAAATGGCGACCCGTATTTCATTCATGTTCGTGACTCATTCCAAATAACACTGTCCCCTCATACAATTGATTGATATTATTATTATTATTACTATTATGTCCTTTGGGTTCCTAGTGGAACATAGGGCTTCAGTAGCACTTCTCCATTTCACTCTGTTCTCTGCAGTCTCCTGAACCTGGCTCCACGACTGCCCACAAGCTTTCATTTCCTCCTACCACCATCTCCTTCATGTCACCCTTGACTCGGACGCCCAACTCGTTTCCCCTTTGGGTTCCACATGAGGGCCTAGTGCGTGATGTCCTCAATCGGTCTTCTCAGTGTATGCCCAATCCATCTCCACTTCCCTCTGCAATTTCTTTGGGCGATGGGTTCTTTGAGGGTTGGTTCGTTGCCAGTCCAGAGTTCCTTGTTGCTTATTCTTATTATTCTGGCCATCTGATCTTCAGTATCGAGTGAGTGTAGGCAGTTGTTGATGAATGTCTGTAGTTTATTGGAAGTGCTTTTCGTGACGCGCCAAATCTCTCAACCATCACATGGAAGCACTGACCTGACTGATATTGGTGTTGAAAATCCGGATGTTGTTCATGTCTTATGCTGAGTGCAGTAGATCTCCACACTGATTTCAGTTTAATGAAAGCCTGTCTTACTGTCTTTCTGATCCTGGCTTTGACATCCTCATTTGTGCCTGTACCGCCTGTAGTTGAAACGATACTGCCTAGGTGGGTGAGAGAGACTAATTCCTTTAGGTTTCTCCCGTTCACGGTGATTGTCGCTTGTTGTTGGTGGTGGTGGTTGTGCATCTTTATCGCTTCTGTCTTCTCTACGTTTGCCTGAAGCGAGTCCCGTCTTCGCTGCCTCTTCTGTCAACTTGTTAGTTTCCGCCTGTAGGTCTTCGAGTTTGTGCTACAAGACTGTAGACATAAGTCATCATGGGCGAAATTCAAATCTTCTGGGCTCTTTTAATCAGTCTAGCGTATGCCCATCTTCTCACTCTTCACAGTTGGCTGTTGCATGATCCAGTTCAGTCGACTACAATCAGGAAGATCCTCAGCGATAGTAGGCAACCTTGTCTTACTCCTGTCCCCTGTCTTCACTTCGAAGGCATCGCTGAGCTTTCCGTTGTGAATCATTTGATATGTAGCATCATATAGCATATAGCTGTTGAATGAGGTTGATAAAGGTTTGTGGTACTCCGTAGTGTTGAATCAGCTGCCTGCTAAATTACCTTATGGTCGAAGGCCCTTTCAGTGTCGATGAATTCGAGGTAGAGAGTTGACTTCCATTCTATGCTGTGTTCTATTATGATGCGTAGCGTTGAAATTTGGCCCGCACATGATTTGCACTTCCTGAATCCAGCCAGTCTGTTCCGGTCGTAATTTTGAATCCATGACATCTTTTAATCTCTCCAGGATGATGCGGCTTAATATTTTGCTTGGGGTGGACAGGAATGGAGCATAATTCCGCGCCAGTTCTTGCAAAGACCTAGGTCTCCGTTCTTTGGGAGTTTGGCAAGGTAACCCTTCTTCCAATCAATAGGCACCTTTCCTTCCAAACGTTCTGCAGTAGTGGTGTGAGCATGTCCTCTGTTGTTTCTGCGTCTGTTCTCAGTGCTTCTGGAGAAATTCCATCTGGTCCTGCTGCTTTCCCACATTTCAGTAGCTTTATGGCGTTCAGGGCTTCCATTTTTGTTGGAGGATTAATGTTCACTTGTAGTTCTGTGGCTGGGCTGCAGGTGGTATTTCTGGACGAAGTGCAGGTGGTGGTGGTGGTCGATTCAAGAGCTTCTTGAAGTGGTCGGCCCATTGTTTCCTTTGTTTCTCTTCTTTCGTAATTAAATTTCCGTCATCATCTTTTATTGGTTTCATCTGTGTTGATCTCTTCCCGGATAACAGCCTGGTTATTTGATATAATGTTGTCAGGTCTCTCCTACCAGCAGTATGTTCCGCTTCACTTGCCAATATGTCGTAGAAGTGTCTTTTATCTTTCCGTGCACTCTTTTTCACTTCTTTGTCCAGTGTAGTGTTTTATACGTTGTGTTCAGTCTCTCTTTTCCTTGTTCATCCTTGCACTGGTTTATCTTCTTCTTCACCATCTTCCTCTCCCTCCTCTATCGGCATTTATGTATCCGTGAAGATCCATTCCTTGCCTTGCTTCTTCTTCCCTTCTAATACGGTTTTACAGGTTTCCTTCCATGTCGCTTTCATAGAGTTTCAGTGTTCTTCCACATTGCATAATGTCTCCCATTTTTTCATGATAGCTGTGATGTGGAGATGTCCTTTGTAGTTTCGTCCTTCAGTTCAGTTTCTGTTCTGGGTGGGTGTTCAACTTGAACTGTGATCTATCACCAACTTCTTTCAAGGCTTTCAACTTGATTTTGAAGGTAGGTTGCTTGCACTAGATACTGAGTGGTGTGAAGCTACTTCTGCTCCCCTTCTTCATCTGATCTTGTGTCCAGTAGGTTGCGTCTGCACTTTCTTCACATTGAGATCAAGCCGATCTGATTTTTAGTGTGTCCATCTGGTGAAATCCATGTCGTTTTGTGGATATCCTTGTGTTTGTACACACTGCCTTCAATCACCAAGTTAACAAATGCGCAGAAGTGTGCAAACAGTTCTCTACTCTTGTTCATTTTACCGAGTGCTTCTCGACCCATGAGTGGTTCTCTTCCTGTGCTGTCTGTTCCCAGTCTGGCATTCATGTCACCCATTAGAATTTTGATGTCACCAACTAGAGTCTTGTCGATTACCGTTTGCAGTTGTCTGTAGAATTCCTCCTCCTTTTGATCTGCATTATTTGTAGGTGCATAGCGTAGCATGTATGATTGTGACTTTCCTTCCTTTTGAGTTGAATCTTGCTGTCATGATCCTGATCCTACAGGAGGAGATTGGTTCCTACTCCATGAGAGCCTTCGATGCTGTTGGAGACATCATGATAGCCACTCCGAAACTCAGTGTGCTGTGCTTGTGGTTGTCGTCTGGGTGACAATATCGGAGTAGATTATTGACTGTCCAGTTGACAGTTTGGAGAGTCCACTTCCATTCCAGCTGCAGATTTTTCACAGATTCGTAGCACTTCTATGTTATACCTTCTCATCTCTTTTGCAATCTGGGCAGTCTTGCCAGCCAGGTTCAAACATTGTTGGGACATTCCATGTCCCCATTCTTACTTTCGCTTTCATCGAGGGAGAGAAGACGCATCGACCGATTGGCTTGCCGAAGGCTTTCACCAACCGGTGTCATTTCGTCTCTCCGATTCCAGGGAGGAACAAGTTTGTTTTTATTTCTTATATTTTCTTTCTGCTTTGAAGTTTCTTTAGCCATTGGATTGGATTGGTTTTACGGGGTCAGGTTGCTAGCCCTACTCCCAACCTTCCCTTTTTATCCGGGTTTAGAACTGGCTAGTAACTATTGAAGTAGTTACCCAGGAGAGGTTGTATATATATATATATATATATATATATATATATATATATATATATATATATATATATATATATATACATATACATATACATATACATATATACATATATGTATACATATATATATATATATACAATATATATATATATATATATATATATTTATAAAAGATATATTATTTAAAAATTATCAATATTACAGCATATTTCCTACAATTTTTTCCAGTAGAACAATGAATGTAACTGATTACATTTAAATATATTTGCATTAGATTATAATCGTTGCATGGATTTGTTTTTGTAAACCAAGCTAATATTTGGGATGTTTTCTCAATAAAGAAATGTATTTTGACGTTGATGATAAGGATTTCATCAACAAGGCATCGAATAAACTACGATATAATGAATATCCAGTCAACGTAAAAACCCATCTGCCAGCAGAGGTCGAGCAATTTGACCCAGTAAAGCAAGGGGAAGTTATAAGGATCAATAAACGACAACTGATCCTCGTTGCACAAGTGGTAGTTCTCGTGACCCAGTGGTCTGGTGGTTAACGCTTTGGCATTTAAAGTGATGGTTACTGGATTCGAGTCTTATTGGGTTGCAGGTACATCCAGCTGACGAGTCTCAAATCGCGCATCCTGTATTCTTCTGCTAGGCATCAAATGGACTGAAACTGTGATTATGGTTGGTTTCGTTTATTTGAACTGATAACAACCAGTTAACTGGTAAATGTGATAGATTATTCATCTACCTTTCGATCTCACAAACCCTAGGATTTCAATCTGTTGTTACTGGTGAAACCGTGGGGTTCCACTATAAGTTTTTGGCGGTTCATTGGGGGAGTAGGTTTCATCTCCTGGAAAAGTAATTTTGTTGTAAATAAGGCAGATCTACCGTTGATCCTCGAATCTAAAAGACGTAACAGCGTAATTTCATCGCATTAGTTTACGTTATCGCTTTTTAGGATCTATTCAGTGTATTTCTTACAGAACTGTTTAACTTACTTTGAATTTCCCGACTGCAACATTGAACGACATATTGTCCCTCACTGTTTTAAGTATTAGACCTTTAACCAGTTCGCGACTCTCAATCCATATACCTAACGTCGTGTTATTGAATTAGATAGTTCCTTTGCACTCCTGTTGTGTTTTAGAAGCACTGACATTCAACTGCAATGCTCTAGGATTTCTGTTTAAGTGATTTATCGTCAGCTAGTATTTACGGTGGGTCATAATCTTGAATTATTCCACAAATGAGTAAACTAACCTGTACATCATTAATCATTTTCATGTCCAACCTTAGAAGTAAAAAGATTCTTCTCAAGCTCTTTTAGATACATTTTGTGAGTTAACATGAAAAAGCAAGAAACTTGAATTCGGAATTACTCCACTTCAAATATCATGTATATACAGTCATACTAAGTCACTTGGATAACTGCCTGTTCTTTGCATTCATAAAACTGTATATCTTTTTTCTCATAGGATAGTGAAGAAACGTGTAGTCAATTATGTTGAGTCCCTTGAAGTTGAATGGAAAAGGTTAGGTAAGTAAAAATCTTAGAACTGATTTCCGTTTCCCCTACATCTAATACTTTGTCCTAATATGTTTAATACATAAGACCATATACGTATTTTTTATCAGACCAACTTGATTTAATAAAATTCGAATTGTTGAAGTGAATTCAAATGTACAGTTTACCAACTGGTAGTTAAGTCCTAACAGCTTCACCAGTACATTAACTAAACTGTTGTTGTATGTCCTAAAACTGAAAAAAGTTCTCTTCTGGTAGTCTCTTCTACTATTTACGGCTGTCATTCACAGGTTCAAGTGAAAAGTAATGGAGTTCAAATGAATAATCTTCACTTACTATGATATTATATTTTGAAAAGTAAAATTGAGAAATCTCGTAATTTTGTTATACATTGAATATACCCGAAGTTGTAACTTGTATACGTTACGCTGTAATGTACTTGCTAACAAAATATACCAACTGTTTTACTTCTTCAAAGTTAGTGAAAAAAACTCAATTTTTTTTATTTAAACACTCAGTGTAAGACAATATTTTATGCATTTTTAACTCATCATTCACAGTACAGTTTAAAAGGGAATAAAGTTGTTATATTCTTCCCAACTATTACAATGGAGATAATGCCAACCTAGCTCAGTTGTAGGAGAATGATGAGTGGAAATTTGGCATATTTCCTCCCTAAGTTTTATATCTGTTGCTAATTGTTTCTTTATCATCTGTGCAACTGAGATAATTTTTTTTTATAGAGCATGGTTACTTGTATTCACGTTAATTGTGATTGTTTTCCATTGAGTAATTGAATAACCTACATTATATTTATTATGAACTTTTGATTCAAAGTTGAATCAAAATTTTTGTTTGTTTTATTTCATGGAGTTTCATTTAGTTGGTTTTTAATTCACCACGTGAATCCACCTAGTTTCTCTCATTCAATTTACTGGTGAAAGTCCTAGTTCACTTTGATATGCTTCCAAAATATTAAGAATTTTATTGTTCGACTTAACTGTTATTCTTTATAATAGTGCTGCTGCTAATGTTCATTGGTTTTTAGCAAAGTTGGCTTCTATTAGCTTGAACAGTCATCTGATTCAGAGATACGTTTCACAAACGTAATGTTGATAGGTTCGCATATTGAACTCAACTCAGTGGGTTTGTTGATTGCTTGTTTATCCCAGTACTATGAGCTGTTGTGGCTCATTGGATTAGAGGGTTGACACTCAACCTGTGGGTCTCAGGTAACCTTCATAGAATAGGTATGGTTCATTGCCTACTGTACAAACGGAAAGAAGGTTGCTGAGTAGTTCATTTCGATTTTTGTCTTCGAAAAGTAATATATCCCATGATTTTTCCATTCTAATCTGTGTTCTGAATAGCTTGGTGATAGAGTCTTTGACTCTAACATTTAGCGACACATCCCAATTGTCGATCGAGTTTCGTTTTTTATGGTTGCTGGCATCTTCCTATCGAGGGCCATTTGGTAGGGAAATTATGTTCAGGATTTCATGTTGACTGACCCTTAGCATCTGATGTATCTAAAAAATGTTTTGTTTCTACATATCAGCCAATTCTTGGATTTGACGTATCGAACACATAGTTTCAGTCTGATTATTGACAATATTATGCGTTCGTGTCACTCGGTTACTTCTTTGTTTATCAGCCTTCAGACAAAAGATTTCAGTAGGTAATCGATAATTATGTGCAGTAACTTCTGAGGTTCGAATCCATGTGTAAGCTAAAGAGGTAGCGTATTGATCCAACTTAGTTTAGTTTTCGACAGCATGGTGGGTTAAAAGCAATAACAGGTATAGCAGAAAAGATTATGAAGTGGTGAAAATCAACAATATCTAATCGGTTTCGGCATTTAGTCTACTTTTTTCTGTATTTTACCTAGCTAACTATCATATTCCCACATATAATGATTCTTTTATCATATTATTTCCCCAGAATTTGATAAATGGACAGGTCAGGATAATGAATCAAATTCAAATAATGCAAACCGTCAGAATAAAAATATTGGTGAAAATTATTACTTTTCTGTTCCACAAATAGAATTCTGCAAAGTTCATAGTGACCTTTTTCTCTGTTTGTAAGCGCTGTACAACGAAAATCTCGTCCAATGAAATCTAGTAAATCTAAGCTGAATAAGACCGATAAAGTTCAGATTCCAATTGATGAAGCACTCAAAGGATTATGCATATCAACTGGTCAAAAAAACCAAAGTGATTCAAATGTGTTTAAGAAGTCTAAAGTATTGACTTCGCTTACAAATGTCAACCCCCCTCCTCTATGGGAATCAGACTCTTCAAGTATTGATGAAAGTGAATGCATGTTAGTTTACATTTTCTAAACTTCAATTTTTATAGGGAAAAATTCATATAAAGCTCCAGTATCATAACAGCTGATTAAGTTGTTTTTAATTGGCATCCATTTTCGTGTCCTTATAAACGCATACTGATATCATAAATTTATAATTATTATCATTTTTAAATAAAGAATGTGACACACGCTGAAATAGGTTTTGTCACAGAAATAACCTATTTTATATCTAGGGGGTGGATCAGTCGAGTTCCTCGTTTACTTAAGTCACAGTCACTAATAAAATTCGAGCCAACATTATAATGCGCTTGGTTTTCATGCGTCAAAAAACTTGATCTTGATCTACCAAAATTCAGTTGACTTATATTCATAATTTTCAGGGCTTTTGAGTTGCTCTCTGAAGTACATATCTGACTGCATCGACTTCACATTGTCGTAGTTTATTCGACGTCAACGTTTTGTATGAGACCATACAGGTTCACTCATTCTCTACAGATGGACACTACTGGTATCGAATGTGAAGTAACTGCGAAATAGTCGTAGTTGGCACACTTTACATCAGGACATCTAAGTGGAACTTAACAAGAGGAGAGAAGAATACAGGAAAAACAAAGTAATAAACAGTATCAAAGGATCGTTAGCTAGAGGATAACAATGGTATGATTAAAGAGAAATTACGGTTTATATTAAGTTAAAAATGTATGTCTGCCTCTGCAGTCGACATTTGGTTGATGTCACATTGTTTGCAGTTACAGAATTTAGTAGTATTACGGTGTAAAAAAGCTAACCAATTCGGTACAGGTTTATGCACTGGGCTGTGAGGTCACTAGTTTAGGCAGTTGACCTTTAACCGATTCGTCATGAATTCGAACACCGCTCCACCTACCAAGGTTTGGGCACGCAGGTGGTATTGTTAACCCTCACTTGATAAATATGGCTCATTGTCTACTGCATAAGTTGCTTAGAGCATTTCTTGTCTGAACTACTCTGTGTGAGGGCTTATGATCCCAGTCGATTGTTCTGGTGAAAGTAGGGATTTGAACCTGGGACTCATTTTCTGGAAATCAAGTGCTTCAGTCAATCAGCCACACCATCCACTGAGTTGCAAACCCCAGCCAAGGAAGCTACATGGCTCACATTCGTAAAAAAAGACTTAATAGATTGGTGCCACATTTTGACTTTGCCGTACTTAGCTTTTAATCAATGTAATCCTGCTCTGTAGATATCACTGCGCAGAGAAGGTAAGCTGTAGCTCACTTCCCAGTCACCTCAGCCAATAAGGTTTCAAAAACTGACTGCTGACATACTGACTGCACTGCTCATGCTTGGTTATATGAGGGTAACTGTGAGCAAATGCCTCAAAGTCCAGATCCTCTCCTTGGATAACCTTGTTTCACAATCACATATTGGGACAGAGCGAATCGCCATACAGTACACTTCACACTTAATAGACCACAAAATAACTAAAGCAACCAGCGATCGAAAACAACCAAAGGAGATCATATCCTACTATCACACTTCAGTCAGTCTAACTACCACCCTTAGTTTCTGTGGATAGTCCATTACTACTTGTTGCTCTCCTATTTCAGAGGTTACTTAAAAGTTTCTCATTTTTGAAGAGATAGTTGAGTGTTCTGTTAAGGTTACAACTGAATAGTGAGCAGCTGAAGGGTAATCGCGGACTAACTGAGCTGTTTCCCAAAATGTTCTGCTCATAGTTCCACTCACCTACCTTGCGACTGCATTGCTCACCTCTTTTTCCTTTCAGTAGCCTAAGTCATAAAACAATAGATATATTTCGTTGCTGCTATCATCATACCATATCTGCCATTTCGCTGAAGTGCTGAGTATAGTCGTGGTAATGTATTTACATACCGCAAAGTGATAGTTTTGAAATGTAGTGCGTTTGATTCATACGGAGAAACGGGACTAATTACTAACAACACTCAGATCTATGCGTTTACGTGTTCGTGGTTATCAAAACGTACATTTGACTAGGTGGTTTAACATAACCTTCGTTCATTGTTTACATTCATACAGGCTTTTGATTGTTTCCTTTTTATTCTGCAGCTATTTATTTTGTCTATGTTTTTTTAAATATTTATCATTGTACCTAGTGCAAGCAAGAGTCATAAGCATTTATTGTCAAGCGCTGTCGATCCAGAAGTAAACATTGGTTATAAGAGCGATAGCGAAGTGCTGCAAAATCAAACTGATTGTGCATCATCACGACCATCATCATTCTCTTCATCACCATTTCCCTCTTCTTTGTGTAAATTTAAATCTGCATTTCCTAGTCTATCCAGACGTTCATCTTCGTTATCTCACCTAGTTAATCATTGTATGCTTCTGAAAACTTCACTTTTATCTGAATCTATGATATTTGAAGGGAAAACACCACATTCCAAAGTCCGTTCATCATCGTCATCAATATTTTCAAGTTCTTCGTCGTATAACGACAATACTGATGATGATGATCCTTGTGATGTCTCATGGGTAGTTAATAAATTTCGTACACCGAAAACTCTAAAGCAACGTCTTAGCATTTCGAATAAATTTTAGTTATTTTTATAATCACCAATTTAATGTAAAAAATACTGTTTCCACCATTTTTAACCTTGTTGTTTCGTTTGTATCTTTCCACAGAAAAATCCTATTCACTTGATATCTTTCTTATTCTTAAGTATATTTGATGATGCTTCTATCTTTTGTTTGTCATACTTCATATTTGTTGAAATGACCTGTCCGGTGACTGTAATTTTGTATAAATTAAAATAATTTTACTCCCCCGACATACTACTTTTCTCTTCAGTTATTATTTACGTTTTCTCGCCATCCAGTACATCAAGTCTTCATGACTGATAGGCGAATGTTTGTGTTCAAATTGATTGGGTGATATTTCGTAGTTATTTACCAATATTTTTAGTTAATGTTTTAAGGAGATGACTCTCAACCAATAGGTCACGGGTTTAAGCCTCGTGACATATTGTCTACTGCACGAATATGCCAAGGTTGCTGAGTGCATTTCCATTTTCTGTTATACTGTCTACGACACTGCCTGTAGTTACGAAATTCATTGTAGTGGTTCGTGACTTTAGTTTCCGATAGTCTACCGTAGAAAATCAACGTTTCATGACATATAGCATTAGCTCAACGTTTAACCGTTCAGGTTGGTACTGACATTCTCAAGGAAAACTGACTGGGGAGGGCAGCGGATGCAATGAAGAATCAGAAATGAAATAGAAGCTACTTAAACCTCATGCACATTGATCTCGTCTGATTTTATCTGCTCCTAACTCATATTCCTTAATTAATACTTATATTGTTCAACTTATGACGCTTTCCGTGTCATATTAATAATAATGGTACACTAATATCAATTATAACCTGTTTGAGAGTATTTCATGCTACTAGTCATATAATGGGGATCACCAATTAGTGAAGCAAACTGATATTAAGTTTGCTTTTCAAGGGGAAATATAACAGTAGTAATACTGCAGCTCAGTAACCAAGTATTTGTCCATCTAATCGGCTGTAATTCACACATAGTTGGGTGTATTTCTTACATGCTAGAAGTGAACCAGATAGATGATCGAAAGAAAAGTGGTTGCATCAATGAGTTTTAACTCTGTGTTTTATATTTAAAATCTAGTAATTTGAGCGTTTTACAGATGAAATATACTACTGACCAATTTGAGTAGTTAGAAACCACTTGGGCTCATTTTTACATTTCGCCTTAAAGATATTCTATTGATGCAGTGTAATTATTGTTGGTTACATTTAGCTTTCAATTCGTACCTGTTGGTAGCTATTGAAAATTAGTATCAATTGGTGTTCTCTGGTTTGTTGTGATCCTTTATGGATATGATACAATCTTTATTTATTATCAACTGTCGTCCTTTTTTCTCTAAATGCGACATATTGGTAAGATATTTACTGTATCACATCAAGACTTCATTATCTAATTTTTAGTATTTAAAATCAGTAAACTAAAAGCACTACCTTTGTATCTTAGAAATATAATATGACTTTTACAAAGGTTCTTAGTATCACCTTCTTGTAGGCTGTATCATCGTTTTTGTGTATAGGTTTTGAGTTGAGGTACTGTAGGTTCAATAAGTTCGACAATCACGGAGTTCAGTCTGGAGGTTTGTGGAGATTCATTAATTGATTTCAGGTTGGAATTTATTATGGACTGATGTCAGTTGGAGAAACATTAGGATCCTGGGAGCGATGGACAGCCGTTTCGTCCTAGCATGGGACTCAGCAGTGCTCACTGATGACCCTATCAGGGATCGAACCCAGAAAGTTTAAGTTCCACGGTCAGTACGTTACCATTGAGGCACTGGATCGGAATCTAATGGTCCGTATTTCCTACTTCTGTCTGTCAGTTCAGGATATAGCATGACCTCCGTCCAATGCCGTCCCCTGGTAACTATCCTCATGTCTGACTTGGTTGGCATCACTGGTCACGACTTCTCATTGGAACTTCAGGAATCACCTCTCGAAGCTAGTTCCTCCAGCTGAAGTCAGTCCATGATGAATTCTAATCTGAAATTAATTATAGAGTTATATTTTGAAGCAATTTTTAGTGTACAGCTTATTCATGAGTGAATTAACGCTGATATGGTAATTTCACTGTAGCTGTTAAACAAGAAATCGTTGTACATCAGAATAAAATTCTTTTAATTTGCTCATCGATAGTAAAAATTGTCCCATCTTGGTATAGTCTTCCTTTTGTTTTCGAACAACAAATAGTTACTGTGTAGTTACTGCATATCAGCGTATCCAAGCGATGTCTTTAAATAAATGATACAAGAAACATCCTGTTATTCCTTTTGTAACATGACTTTCTTGATTTGTAAATCCGTTACTCTTTTTAATGTTTTGTATTCCTTTTTTAAATTGTTAGGAAATAAACTTCTTTCAAACTTCATTTGGTTAAGATGTAAGTCGTTTCAAGCAGTATACACTGAAAATATTTACAAGCGATTTGAGAAATCCTTTGATTATTAAAACTGTTACCAAATTAAAGATTGTAGTGCAGGAGTAAAACTTGTCCAATGGAGCAATGGATTCTGACCCAGTGGCTCAGTGGTAACGCGCTGGCCGCGGAACCTGAAGGTCGCTGGTTCGATCCCTGGAGGATGGGGCCGTGGGTGCGCACTGCCGAGGAGTCTCATACTAGGGAGTAACAGCTGTCCAGTGCTTCCAGGTTTCATTCGTTCCTCCGACTGATGTCAGTCTACGATGAATAACAACTTGAAATATTTCCACATCTCCACAACTCCCTCCAAAAATTTAATCCCATCTTAGTCTGTTTACACTAGTGTTAGACAGTGAAGCAGTATCATTTACTGGATAACATTTGGTATATAATTATTGCCCATGTGAAATAGTACAGTAAATTATGTCCGAAACGTCATTTTAGTCTGTTTATACAAATGATACTGTTTCACTGTGTGACATTTCTAATAAACTGATAAAAATGGGATTTACCATTTAAGCTTGACCTTATGGTATCAAGATTAGCGGTATTTAGACCATGCAAAGTAACAGTGATTTCCAGTATAATTTTTAATTGGTGGTGTTATTAATATTACCTTGATAGTACCGTGTGCAATTTGATGATTACCAAGTATCATTTGACAATTCAAAGTTGTGTCCTCTGAGTAGAAAGCCATGGTTATCTACTTCATGTGTCACTTTTTTCAGGTGACGTCGTTAGTAATTACTGCAGTTTAGTACTCATTAGGAACATTTTACTCCACGCTAAAGAATAAAAAAAAGCGACACATTAGATCAATTTTTTCCCAGGTTACTTGGAGAAAGTGCCGCTTAGTTGAGTATTACTTCATTAGTTAGGGCAGTCGACTTTCATTTGCAGTATTTCGGATTCGATCGTCGCCCCATCTAGCAATCAAGAAGCCAATTTCAAAAATGTTACAACTTATTGCATAGATCTGCATGTTAGTGATGAGTCGGAATAGTATTTTTCAGATACCTGATCTTAGCATGCTTTGAATATCTTCTTCGGTGTCAGTTGGCTTCACAGTGAAGTCGACTCCAATCGATACCAATCTTCTACATCTTTGACCTCTTACCTTTCTTCACGTCAAGTCAGTACGAGTATAGGACATACTATGACTATCCAACCTTTGTTACATCATCTATGTAGAAAGCAACAGGTTGGAATATAGAGAAATATGCAAAAACGTCATCACAAAAGATGAAAAAATAAAATAATAAACATGAAAGAAATCTTCTGTATGCATCTGCATCACTGAAATCTATTCTGAGCTACCCCAACTAAAGTCCCCGTCCACCAATTTCGGTCGTAATATGGACCACAACTGGGAAATACACATTCCCCTACACTCTCTACTCAGATCAACAGTCGAATACCTCATGAATTGATGCCATGTTTCAGTCCGGCCGTCTCTAAACTTTCTAATGCAGCTAAAACTGCACAATAGAGCTGATGATGACTAGGAATACCCAATACATATCGCAGCCACTTGAGTCGATGCGAGTTCATAACCTCATCAACTAACTTTCCTCTCTTACCTGAGACTCTACACCTGACTTCCACGCTACTGGTGCATTCGTTCCACAACACAGCCTATGCTACGAAGACAAGGTCTACAAAATAGATTATTGTCAGTTAAGGAGAGGCAAGTTCACATAAGTACATCTATGATAGAGTTGAGTAAAAATGAAGAGAATGGACATCACCGGCGAACACAATTCATTTAATAACTAACCATAGGCTCTAACTTGCCTGCGGGTGTTCTAGTCTACAGCCTTCAACAGTGTGATTAACCTTCCCCAAACACCACTCGTTGAGATACAATGCAATAAGACCCCTCAATAAACGGAGTCAAAAGCTGACTTTGCATCATGGAATGTACCTGATGTCCGTGAGTGTGCTTACTGTCCAACATATGGAGGAGGGTGAGGATGTGGTCGTTACATCCATGACAACATTTGATTTTACCTGGTTTCCTCGGGTTTTCTGTTTCTTAACTTCCCTTGGGCTTTTCTTATGAAACTAGGATCTTAGACACTACGTTGTTAAGACTGATTTGTCTGTGTTTATCGCAAGATGACATCTTCCCTTTCTTAAAGACTGGGACAATCAATGATTGAGACCAGTTTGAGGGGAACATGTATCTCTTCCTTACACCAGTAAACGCTTAACCAATAATCCTTAACCACGTTACTTAAGTACCTCTGGTGTTAACCTATATGACCCTCTACACTTTCTCTGATCCTGGTTACTTAGCTTGCGCTACCTTTGCTAGGGCTCAAGGCGATATGTCAGAGTTTCTTTCAGGATATGACTAGGTGGCGGGTTACCGAACTATAATTGGAGACCGGTTGAACTGTCCAGCGCATAATTCCAGTTGCCACCCCCTGCAAGTTAATCGTAGATCCACGTTTCTTCGCTATAGTTCCAATAGCCAATGTCGTTTTCATTCAGGTTTCCTTGAAAATTCCATCTACAGTGACCTGTTGCAGTTGCCTTCTCCAAATTCTTAGCTATCGCTGCTTACGGTCATTGTACACACACTTTGCAAGTCTACAGTTGAGTAACTTCTGCACCTGAAGGTGATCGGATCCTGCAAGAATATGTTTTTGTGGCTCATTCAGTGGAGCTTTGGTTCACTGGTCTAGTCGTTCAGTTTCCAACCAGTAAGTTACAAGTCAGAAATACGCTCTATCTATTAGGGTCTGGACAGTCAGGTAGTAGCATTAGCTCTCACACAATAGATAAGGCTCGTCACCTCCTGCGTGAGTGTGCACATACCTGCTCAGTTTCAACTCTTCCTCGAATTATTATTCTATAGCCTCTTTTTGAAGGTTACTAACAGTCCTTAACTTTAATCCGAAAACCGACTGGAAAAGGGATCAGGTTTCGTCAGGGTGTGACGTTGTCATGTAGTGATGACTTTCTAATGGGTTACGCTTGGACTGGATATACGTTCGCATCTCATCTCTGTTTACTTACGTGCAGGCATACACGTGCCTGAACCAACGCTTGATCACTGTCCAAGCACACGCTGCAGAAGGAGTCTTTCATCTATCAACTGAAGTGAATATTGGTGGTAAAATGGTCTATCTGTGTCCCCCGGTTGAGAAAAGACAGGTGGACGCCACGTTAATGTCTCTCCACGTCTGAAATACGTGGTGAAATAAAATAAAAGATTGTTTGAACATAGTTGCAGTAGGGGATTGCCATTAGCAGTCCTTTCAGCTGGAATTCCAAGTAACAACGAAGTGCATTTTTGGCTGGCTTAGCCCACCCACTTGTGCACTGAAATCATTTGCTACGACGACCACACCTATCGCTTAGCTTTCAATAAGAGGCTGCACAGCTTTCGGTAGAAGTTGTCTTTCACTTCATTTGAATTGCATTCAGTCATGAAAAGAGACTACAAAAAAGCATAGAATTCACTACAATTTTAAGCCTCACCACACAGTTTAATGAAACGGTGCACAAATGGCTATGCATTCAGAACTAGTGACCTTTCTGCCTTAGGACTTGACGCCATACCTGCACCTGAGAGAAACAGTCGTCAAGTTTACAGAAACTTGGAGAGTGAAAGTTGAAGATTAACAACGATGGCCAGGTGATGTTAAGAGACTAACAACACAAACACAGCACATAACCAGTGTTCGATAAGACAGAGATTTAGTTCGTGAGGCTTGTTGTTCGATGAAATAGTGGAAACATTGGAAGTAACAATGTGACCTTTGCAGTGTGGTTTCTAGAGACCAAGGATTCCATTTCGTGAACTAGAGTTTTCATCACGGACTGCAGAACAGGAAGAGGTAAAAAACGACGTGAGATTATTAACAAGGAGACATAAAGAAAGAATCCGAGGAATATGGTCATTAAAAGTGATGGATATGACGTTTCAGGTGTTCAACCACCTCTTGTCTTCGTAGCATAGGCTGTGTTGTGGAACGAATGCACCAGTAGCGTGGAAGTCAGGTGTAGAGTCTCAGGTAAGAGAGGAAAGTTAGTTGATGAGGTTATGAACTCGCATCGACTCAAGTGGCTGCGATATGTATTGGGTATTCCTAGTCATCATCAGCTCTATTGTGCAGTTTTAGCTGCATTAGAAAGTTTAGAGACGGCCGGACTGAAACATGGCATCAATTCATGAGGTATTCGACTGTTGATCTGAGTAGAGAGTGTAGGGGAATGTGTATTTCCCAGTTGTGGTCCATATTACGACCGAAATTGGTGGACGGGGACTTTAGTTGGGGTAGCTCAGAATAGATTTCAGTGATGCAGATGCATACAGAAAATTATCATCGTTTTTAACGTTGTGTCATTGTTTGCCTATTCCCACTTGTTTCATGGAATTCTATAGTTTTCATTCTCATTTGGATTTCTTTGCTAAATTGTTTTGCCTCGTATCTCTATGTGGTGATTTGAATGGTTATGCTGACTGACAAAAGCAACGTGGAACCTTGCCTACAAGTGCATCAGTTTAAGTCGCCAAACTTTACAGTATTGCACAAAGGACAGAGTGACAGAAAAAGAGTGATTTGGAAGTAGTTGTGTATCAGAATAAACAATATGGACGTAAATGTTAGTGCAAATATTCAAGCTTCAGAATATGTCAAAGAGTGAGCACATCTAGACCAAGGTGATCGATTTTTAGGCATGTCACCAGTGTTCTTAGCCCATGATTCTTTTCGTCTCGGGAACTCCAAGTAGGCAGTCTACATCTCCCACGCGAATTGTTATGCAGTGATATCTAGTTGCGTATTGTTCCTGGCATTTGAAATATGCTGGTTTTGCTTCATGGTTACCACTAAATTTCACTTCCTTTTCTCCTTTTAATTTTTATGCATCGATTTAGTAATATTACCACTAGTTTCAGTTATACGACATAAGCAACTGTATTTAATTTAGTTAGATGGAAAGAGTGATTGATAACTGCATCTTCGTTGATAGAACCAACACATGATAGCAATGACGCGACACCTGTACCAGATATGTGGAAATCTTTACCACTACTGTAAAAAAAGAATGTGTCGAATGTGGATTAATTACTTTGGTATGATTGTGAGTAATAATTTGTGCTGAAAACAACAACCAGTAAATTACACTTGACGTGTTCATTATTAGACATGTCGATGGAATACTGAGGAAACCTATATGGAATCAACAGCTTATTAACACTTTTACAATTGGCAGTAGATCACAAGGAAAATGAACTTTATTCACTCCCTCTGTTATCAATTAATTAGTGATGCTGTATCAAATAAGCGCAAACCTAACATGAAAATATATTCTACCATTGTTCAGGTTTTACACCTGTATTAAAGCAACATTTTGTCATTAATTTAGTGCTCTTAAGGTAGTGTTTATCTAATCCTTCAAAATGATCACTGATTTTTTTGTTGAGAACAGACAAATGGTTAATGGTTACAATCTTAGCTTTTTGTTTTTTGTGTACTTAATTTAAGATAGACTATATTTTATATTTTTGTTTTCCTTCTATGCATAGATGTCGTTTACAAGTGGCAGTTATTGGCTTCAACGTACTATCACTTTGAAAAGACAATCTCGTGGATGTCATTATATCACAGATGAAATTAAAAAAGCTTTGCCAGAAATTAAACAAATACAACTCGGTATTTTGAATCTTTTCAGTAAGTAATCTTACGTATATTTTCATCCGTATTAGTTATTTGCTTAAAAGAATAATTTATTTAACCAATTAAAGTATAAATGTAATTAATACGCTTTTTAAAGAACATTCAGAATTGAAAACTTATGTACGACTATCCTCATAAAAATGCTTTCTAAGCTTTGTTTTTAAGTGACTAAAAAGCATATCAATCCCCACTTATTATGTGAATAAAAAAGATTATTCTCATTAACTTTTTTAGAAGCAGAAATTGGTCCTAATTATCATCAATCACTTTCCTCTCTTTTTATCCTTTCCTAGAGGTATTCCTTTCACAGTTTATACCACTTCTATCTCATCAATGTATGATAAAGATTCAACTTTATGTAATAACACTGATTACTCCTCTGCTTCTTCCATCCACTCCTAGGGTTAGCAAACAATGAACTGTCCTCAAGCCGTTAGGATGACATGCGTAACACATGTCCAGGCCACCGAAGCCGGTGTTTCCAGATAACTTCACTTGCTGAGTGACGATCTCCATCATGCTCAAACACATGCTATCGTACCTCAGAGTTACTTACACGGCGCTGCCATCGAATACAAGCAGCCTTATGGAGGCAACGATTATCGAAAACAGAGTCGTCGCACATCTTCAGCTCGGAGAGACCAGGTTTCATAGGTGTTGAGCAGAACTTTTCTCACTGAAGCGTTGTAAACCCAACCTTTTACGGTCAGACTAACGTCGTGATAGCTTCAAAAGTTGCCCAGATTGGTTTATATCTTTCTGGCTTTCGGTATATGATTAAAAGTCTCATCACTTTTACCTCCACCAACACACACAACTGCCCAGATTCACAAACTTTTCGACTACCCTCAACGGCTCACCACCGATGATGAGCAGAGACACAAACTCCTGCCAGTCTTGCCATGCACTTTGCACTTTGGTGATGTAAAGCACGTACAATACTTTTTATGACTAGACAGCAATGCTTGATGTAAGTTCTTGTAGTGGGTTTCAGGAAGAATTGTATGGATGCTTGGTAAGATCATCAGATTATGCCCATGTAGGTATTTATCCCCTTTAACTGAATAATTTTGTTTTGAGTCCTATTACTGTATGGGTCTTTTCTTTTTTTATTTCCCGACAGTTCAACATACATCAGCAACTTTGACTGTTAATGAAGTAAGTCTGCCATAGAATACTTCTATCTTATTTTAGTCATCATTCTTTTACTGAAAACACAACTGTGTAATACACAAGAATATGCTACCCAAATGCTAATTCTTGCTCCGGAACTGGCCTTCAGTGGTGCTCTCTCTGAAAATTGGGAATGAAATGGTTGGACGCATTGACCACTTCACTTACATTGGAAGTCGGATCAGCCCTGGTGGGTTAGTGGCCGATGAGATCTCTGCACTGATGATGATAAAGGCTTGAGTGTCTGTTGTTATTTTATATTATTATTACTATTATTATTATTATTAGTCCCTTGGGTTCCTAATGGAACATAGGGCTTCAGTAGCACGTCTACAGTGAACTCTGTTCTCCGAAATCTTTTGAACCTGGCTCCACGACAGCCCACAACCTCTCATTTCCTCCTCGCACGATCTCCTCCATGTCACCCTCGACTCGACGTCCAACTCGTCGCTTCCCATGGGGATTCCACTTGAGGGCCTGGCCTGGCGCGTGATGTCCCCAGCCGGCCTTCTCAGTGCATGCCCAATCCATCTCCACTTCCTTCCACTGCATATTTGTTGCGTGTTAGGTTCTTGCTTCGTTGGTTTGTTCCCAGAGCTCCTTGCTGCTTATTCTGACTAATCTCGCCATCTGATCTTCAGTAGCGAGCCAGCGTAAGCAGTTGTTGATGAATGTCTGTGGTTTATTGGAAATGCCTTTCGTAACGCACCAAGTCTCTGAACCATACAGAAGCACTGACTTGACCGACGTTGGTGTTGAAAATCCGGATCTTGTTCCACATGATGAGTGCAGAAGGTCTCCATACTGGTTTCAGGCAAATAAACGCCTCTCTTGCTTTTCCGATTCTGACGTTGACATCCTCGTCTGTCCCGCCTGCAGTTGAAACAGTGCTGCGTACATAGGTGTAGGAGGTTACTTCCTTTAAGTTTCTCCCGTTGACGGTGATTGGAGTTTGTTGTTGTTGTTGGAGTTGTTGGTGCGGTATCTTCATCACTTCTGTCTTCCCTATATTCACCTGAAGTCCCGTCTTCGCTGCTCTGCCTCTTCTGCCAACTTGTTAGTTTTCGCCTGTAGATATTCAAGTTTGTGTGACATCAGGCACAAGTCATCGGCGAAATCCAAGTCTTCTAGGTTCTTTTCCGCAGTCCAGCCAGCGTATCCCCCTCTTCTCGCTCCCCACTGTTGTCTGCTGCATGATCCAGTCCAGTTGACCACAATCAGGAATATCATGGGGGATAGTATGCAACCTTGTTTCACTCCTGTCTCCACTTCACTTCAAAAGCATCAGTGAGCTTCCCATTGTGAATTACTTGGCTGGTATGTGGCGTCTTCATATAGTTGTTGAATGGTATTGATAAAGGTTTGCGGTACTCCGTAGTAATGAAGCAGTTTCCAAATTACCTCTCCGTCGACGCTGTCAAAGGCCTTCTCAAAGTCGATAAAGTTGAGGTGAGGTAGAGATCCAGTTGACTGCCATTCTATACTCTGTTCTATGATGATGCGAAGCGTGGCGTTGCAATTTGGTCCGTGCATGATTTGTACTTCCTGGAGCCTGCCTGTTCCGGTCATAGTTTTGAATCCAGTGCATCCTTTAGCCTCTCCAAGATGATGCGGCTTAATATTTTGCTTGCTCTGGGTGGACAGGAGAGTGGTTCCGCGCCAGTTCTTGCAAACACTGAGGTCTCCCTTCTTCGGGAGTTTCACAAGGTAACCCTTCTTCTAATCAATAGGCAGGTACCTTCTCTTCCTTCCTCACCTTCTGCAATAGTTGTGTGAGCATGTCCGCTGTTGTCTCTTCCTCTGTTCTCAGTGCTTCTGGCGGTATCCCGTCTGGTCCTGCTGCTTTCCCGCATTTCAATGGCTTTATGGCATTGTGTTCAGGCATCCATTTTTATTGGAGGATTTATGTTCACTTGTAGTTCTGTGTCTGGGCTGCAGGTGGTGGTGGTGGTGGTCAATTCAAGAGCTTCTTGAAGTGGTCGGCCCATTGTTTCCTTTGTTTCTCTTCTTTGGTAATTAAATTTCCATCATCATCTTTTATTGGTTTCGTCTGCGTTGATCTCCTCCCAGATAGCAACTTGATTATTTGATATAATGTTGTCAGGTCCCTCCTACCTGCAGTCTGTTCTGCTTCACTTGCAAGTGTTACGTAGAAGTAAGTGTCTTTTGTCTTTGCGTGCACTCTTCTTCACTTCTTCGTCTAGTGTATTGTTTTATACATTTTACTCAGTTCCTTTTCTCGTTGAGCATCCTTGCACTAGTTTATCTTGTGCTTCACCATCCTCCTCTCCTCTATCAGCTTCCATATGTCCGTCGAGATCCATTCCTTATCTTCTTTCTTCTTCTTTCCTAATACAGTTATGCAGGCTTCTTTCCACATCTCTTTCAAAGACTTCCAGTGTTCTTCCACACAGGTTTCTTCATGGATGTTGCTCGACCTCTCGTATTTTGTATTGATGGCTGGCTGCCGTGAAGATTTTCTTTGTAGTTTCGTTCTTCAGTTCACTTTCTGTTCTGGCTGTTGAACTGGAACTGTGGTCTATCACCAACTTCTTTCAAGGCTTTCAACTTGATTTTGAAGGTTCCTTCACTTGACAGTGGTCTGAACCTACTTCTGCTCCCCTTCTTCATCTGATCTTGTGTCCAGTAGGTTGCGTCTGCACTTTCTTCAAATTGAGATCAAGTCGATCTGATTTTTAGTGTGTCCATCTGGTGAAATCCATGTCGTTTTGTGGATATCCTTGTGTTTGTACACACTACCTTCAATCACCAAGTTAACAAATGCGCAGAAGTGTGCAAACAGTTCTCTACTCTTGTTCATTTTACCGAGTGCTTCTCGACCCATGAGTGGTTCTCTTCCTGTGCTGTCTGTTCCCAGTCTGGCATTCATGTCACCCATTAGAATTTTGATGTCACCAACTGGAGTCTTGTCGATTACCGTTTGCAGTTGTCTGTAGAATTCCTCCTCCTTTTGATCTGCATTATTTGTAGGTGCATAGCGTAGCATGTATGATTGTGACTTTCCTTCCTTTTGAGTTGAATCTTGCTGTCATGATCCTACAGGAGGAGATTGGTTCCTACTCCATGAGAGCCTTCGATGCTGTTGGAGACATCATGATAGCCACTCCGAAACTCAGTGTGCTGTGCTTGTGGTTGTCGTCTGGGTGACAATATCGGAGTAGATTATTGACTGTCCAGTTGACAGTTTGGAGAGTCCACTTCCATTCCAGCTGCAGATTTTTCACAGATTCGTAGCACTTCTATGTTATACCTTCTCATCTTGTTTGCAATGTGGCTGCCCTGCTAGGTTCAAACATGGTGTGGACATCCCATGTTTCCTCCAGTCTTCGGTTTAATATATATTGACTTTCGGTTTCATCGAGGGGACTACACATTAGCCAATTGGCTTCCTGAAATCTCTCACCAACTGGCGTCATTTCGTCTCTCCGATTCCAGAGAGGAATAATATTGTTTTTATTTTTATATTTTGTTTGTGCTTTGAAGTTTCTTTAGTGGTTTGATTTGTTTTACGGGATAGGGTTGCTAGCCGTATGCGCAACCTTCCCTCTTCATAGGGGGTTTAGAACTGGCTAGTAACTCCTAAAGTTTACTACGCGAGGTTATATATATATATATATATATATATATATATATATATATATATATATATATATATATATATATATATATATATATATATATAACAATTTATCAGCAACTCCTTCACACAATAGAATAAATCCACCGAGAGCTGGACGAACGTGAAATTTCTACTATCGAAGCAATTTCCAGCAAGGCAACAGTATGAAAATTCAAGGTTATAGAGTAACATAATAGTATTATTATCTTTAGCAACTTGGAAAAATGATTGTTGAGTCATTTCCCTTAGAGTAGTACACAATCCAGCCTTTAGGACCATTAAAGACGTGCTGTTAGTATCTGCTGATCAACCTTGGGAAATATCTTTTTATTAACACCATACTCTGAAATCTTTCTTACTGAATTTCATTCATTTCTGCTAAAATCTGCGAATGTTTATTTTCATGGGTTGGTTAGTGAATATGATTGTTTCTATCGAGAACATGGTATGTTTTACAAGCAATTAGAAGTTTTGTTCATTGAAAGATTTTGAGTGTAGTTGACATACTTTATTCCTGGTTTACTATCTCTGCATTGGTTCTCGAGTTTTATCTTACCCTTCTTGATAAAGGACATTCAGGATGAGGGGTAATATAACTTGAATGAAATATCTAGTTCCTTTATAAAAGTTAGATGATTATAAATACTCATCTTATCACAGCATTCAATTTCATCTATACAACCCAATTAGTTTATAGACATATTCAACTAACACGTTAGAATGTAACAATTTATCTTGAATGTGTCTACCAGTTGGTGGTATAAATGCAATTAGAATTAGATTTTCTTACAAAATTTCTTGAATATTGTTTTTTTTCTGTTAAACTATGTTTATTTTTTTCAATAAAAAAGATTAATGTATTGTTAAAAATCTTTTACTCTCTTATATTCAACAGAGTTGGGATCCTTCTGTTACGTAAGTTCACGTTTCCAATGTTTTTGGTATACACACACTTGAACACTATGGGAATTCAAAGTAAATATGCTGTTGAACTTTCACGTTATTAAGTTTTCTTCTTTCTTTTCTTTCAAAAAAAAAAAACTACAGAACAATTGATTTTCATGGTGTAAACTTTATTTATACTTTCACTTATAGACTGTAAACTTGTGTAGAGAAATCCTAAATGTTTGACATTACAGATAAGCGAGGGAAATCATTCTGGAGAGTGCAAACATTTTCCCTTTATTATCCACTCCATTGTTTTTAGTGGTTCTGATAACCACCCGTCTTTCAAATGAAATAGGATACAACTTATCGTATTACATCTAACGAACCAATCATGCATAATACAATCTCAAAACACTGCACTACATTTAATAGTAATTTGTAAGGATTATATTGAAAGCTAAAGAATGCAGCTTTATTTTATTACGAATAAACTATATTCATTATTACAACTGATAAAAGTGTATGCATACAGTTGCTGTCTAAAATTGTCCTGGCATCCAGACAGATTTGTAGAATTACATTTACGCACAGTGTTTCCCATTACAAATCCATATTATCTCAACTGAACATTAAAAAAAAAGGGAGTTTTTCCAAATCTATTGACCCTTTGACACTCGGCATATCATCATTGTATCACATTGCTGCTTTGACTAGCAAAGACAGATAAGTGAATGTAGAACACTGAAAAGAATTCCCTTACTTCATGTTGCTACACTTTACAGCAACACACAATTCGCAAATGTATAGAACACCTATTGTAGTTTTGAGTAAACTTTGTATGTGAGCGGAAAGACGATAAACAAATTAACATATTTCATGCAATACACTTATCTGTGCATGCAAATCCATAAAATTAGAATAACTAATCATAACACTGGTTATCATTGGTGAAATATCATCCAGTTTCAGTGTCAGTTTTTATTGATTTTACATATTTTCAAAGGAACTAATTTCCTTCTTTATTGCTAATTTTATAGAAAAGATATGGAAATGGTCCTGAACCATCTTGTACCTGAGGTATGTTTAATATACTTTACTGATTATCATTCTATATCTTTTTATACGAACCATAGCAGACGAGATGAACTTAACTCAAGCATTTATGTGAAGGTTTATTTACAAGGTCTTCACTGTAATCTGTTGTGTATATATTGACGAAACTGTCCGGAAGTAGTTGAAGCGGTTTTGAATCGACGATGCAGAAATGCTGATTCCAGTGCTTAGACAACTGAATGACATCCTGAAATACATGATTTATGAACTGATTCTTGCATAGCTGCTGTAGACTTTCTATAAATGTGGAAGAGCAGATAGACAAATCAGCGTAGAACCTCACTCACACGTGCTTCGGTCCAAGTTGTTACTCTTTAAAGTAGTGCACAAAGAACGGGTGAATGAAAGAAGGGTGGTATCATAGTCGATAAATTTGTATGAAGATAACGGTTAGTGCAAATATTCAGGTTTTAAAGGATGTCAAAGAGGGAATACATTTGTGCCAGTGTGACCGACTTTCAGCCATGTCACTAGAACTCATCAACCACTGGTTCTTATAATCTCGGGGATTTCAACCAGACAGTTAACATGTCCCCACACGGCTCAGGTCAACGGTCAGAGACTTCATTGAGTGGTACCACATCTTGGTCTGACCACCCTGAACCTTCTTCTAATCTTATCCAACTTCTCCTGGCATAGCACGTCTAGGCAGATGGTGGCTCGACATGTGCAGTATATGCCCGAGCCATCTCCGTCGACTAAAGTACACAACCTCATCAACTGAATTGCTTTTCTTGCCTAGTATCCTTCGCCTGACTTCAACATTACTCACACAGTGATTCCACCAATTGCGAGCAACGCTACGAAGATATCTGTGATTAAAACCCTGTAATTCCTTAATGTCTTCTGCCCTCAACGACCATGTCACACAGCCGTATAGCAGGACAGAACGGACTGTAGCGCAGTATACCCGTTTTTGATCGGCAGTCGGATATCTTGCCAGTCAACATCCCAGATGATGTAAATTGGCAAATACTAAACGGGGCTTCTGTATCCGAGACGAGATTCCGTCTGCAACCACCCAAGTAAATGAAGTGATCGACACCTCCCGCTACTGCACTCCGTATCCTTAACATAGGAGTAGTCGTCGACCAGTCCTGAAGCATCATCTGACAAATGATAGCAAAACACATGACAAACATACTTAGATTCCTGCTAAACAAGTTCACAAAACCATGCATCTTGTCAACATCTTCACCTAACAAGACAACATCGACTACATACTCCACCTCAACAAGATGACCTCCATGGAATAGGTGAACACCTGCGAAGTCAGACATACATGAGTTTATGTCTATTACTACGTCTATAACGAAATCAAACAGGAACGGTTACAGTGAGCATCCCTGACGGACACCACTAGTTGTCATCGATTCAGATGACAATTCTCTTAAGCCGTTACGGGGTTGCGTGAGTCCGAGGAGAGAGCTTCGACAGACATTATACACTTACTCGGTACTTGTTTCACAGTCAGACACTGCCACAATACCTCACGGATGACAGGGTCGAATGCCACATTCAGTTCAAGAAGTATGGCAGGTTTTGGCCTCTGAGAAGTGTGCCTGTGTTCTGAAATCTGTCGGTGAGTGAAAATATGGTCGATGTTCCCTTGTCCTACTCTGTCTGAAACCTTCCTAGTTTTTTCGGGTTTATTGTTGTTGCTTTGCTGCAATTAGGCGCTGAGTAAGTGTGGAGCATATAATCTAGTCAAGCTGATTCCCATATTGCTGTGAGAAGAACACTTCTGCCTCTTTGTATAGACTGGGATGGTAAGTGAAGGAGACCAATCTAAGGAGGAGCGTCATGTGGAAGACTGTCAGGTTCAGCTGCTTTTTATTGCTCCTGGTTTCAATACAGCCTTCGCAACTTCCAACAATATTGTGACATTTACACTCTACTCAGCTACGAGTTGAATGTTAGGCAACTGAAGCGTAAGCAGGTACAAGCTATCAGTCGAGTGTATATAGCACTAACGGCGTAGCACTACTAAGTAACATTTAAACATGTTTCCATTCTTACAGCCCACGATTTCTGTTTATGTTGTGCGATATTTGTGATCGAGGATGCAACCATGACTCCTGAGATTAAATTTATGTCGTTAATAAACCTCTCAATCGCCAACGTAATTTGAAATATTCAAAGGTGATTCCTATGCCTTTATGAAAGTCCTTTATTCACTGTATTTAAAATGACTATACAATTTTAATATATACAAAGTTTTTTCTGCCGTGCTGCTTTTTGAAATAACAGAAAATATTTGTTTCTGTTTTTTATTTCAAATTTTATATTCTATAGTCGCTTAAATATAAACATTCCTGTGAAGGTCCTGATGATATGGTAAGTTATTACGAATTGTCTTGTCTTCTAATACTGAACTATATGTCACAAATATCAATATAAAGTGGATATATCTTTTGTCTTCTGAACTGAATGAATAACATACCATTCATCTGTCGTATTAGTATGCATCTTTTGGACAGTAGTTCATTCTCCCCCACCACCACCACATTTTCAAGTTAATTCGCTGATTGGTTAATCCTTGCTTTTAATATGTTGTTTCAAATTCTGGACAAGGTCATATTTTATGTATATATATATACACACGTGTTTTGGAGCTAGTTGGCTATGGTTCTCGGAGGAATAAACTCTTTTAGTTAGTCCATTCTTCTCCATTTTGTCCGGTGTTGCAGTCGATGGATCTTTCGCACGAAGTTACCTATCAGGAAGCATGCGTATTACATCAGCTTGGAATATACAATACTCGGTCTGTTTTCAGTGTGGAATCCAATGTAGATGATAATATACCTTGATCTACTCAAAAAAGTAGACATAGCGAATAACAGATTGATAATCTTGAATAAAACATAACATTAAAATTGTCATAAACGAAAACTATATGTTAAGTCTCAATTCTTTGAAACAAAATTCCAGCTAGTACAACTGGAGAAGACAAAGGTTTTAATTTACGATCATGATTAATTAGTCCATGAGAAACGTAAGAATGATAAATACGGAATCATTAAAGTAAATAACAGGAAAAGAGAATGAACTAGAATTTGATGAGCATAGTTCAATAGTAGTGAGGAAATTGGTTTACTTGATAAATAAGTTAAATAGTGACCAGAGCATTTGTGTAGTAGACCGAAAAATTAAAAGAATTCTTAGCCTAATAAATTCACAGCTGCATAGCAATGGGTCTATGGAAGAGTTAGTAATAACTTGTTTCATGAAAATTGATCTCATTAACTAAAACGTAGTTTGTTGATATAATTTGCTGTCCAATAGTCTAAACATTCGAAATTAAAATTCTACTATTTTTCATTGGTATAGACCATCACGTTCCTTAGCTTTAATTGCAGTTGGTAAACACCCCTGAAATAAAATGGAGTCATTAACAGAACAGTTAGTTATCGTTTTTCACTTCAATTCTTGAATTGAAAAGATGTATTAATGGACAAGTTTAAGTTGATGTTAATATGCGTTAATTTTGTGAATGAAAACTGTTGTATCTGTAACCAGAAGAAATAAAGCCCACAACCAATCATTTCCGAATGTCCATCATATGTCTCCCTTTGTTTACATTCTTTCACATTCTGATTACACCACCTACATTTTGGAAATAACCATCTGAATTCGTCTATTGGTTTGGTGGTTGTCGAATAAATCCGCACAAAGTAATTCACAAATCTCCTCCAAACCGTCTAGCCAAAGATATACTAAAATCAACTCTTGGAGTAATAATTACAGCTGGATAGAAGACCCAACCATGACTTACAATTGAAATGAAGTTTTTAAATGCACAAGAAATCATCTGTTTCATCAATCCATTACAGTAGAAGAGAAGTGAATCTCAATTTAGTATCCCACTGTTCATGTTTTACAGTGACTGTTTGATTCGATCACCCATTTATCTATATTTTGAAAAAAATGATGTTTCTCCTCTATTTGCCAGTTATCAGTCGTCAAATTATGTATACAGTTACTTTCTGTTCATTATTTGACATCTATTGAGTAGTTAATTTCTCATTCTCAACCTTTGCCCTCTCTGTGGGTCACAGTTGTGTAGATCTGGTAGTCTATTATAGTTGCTCAGCGTGTAGATATACCTTATTGTGCAAAATGAATTTTTCGTTTCCGTACTTTTCTGAACAACTTTTTAATCTTGTGCTCGTCAGTATTTTTTGCCTGACTCACAGATAAGACGATGGTAAATTTTCATAGTTTATTCCTTCACTACTAACAGTTCCGCTTATAAAGTTGTAAAGCATAGTTTTCTATCAGAGAATTTTTATTTTGGCAGTATAGTTAACTGGACAATTGAACAAAGAAAACTTAATCAGTAAATATAAACTAATAGTTGAGTGTGGAATTCTCGGAACTAACGATTTGTATTCACTGTTGCATGAGTAAGTAGGAAGTCCAGACCTATTCTGTGTATTTGTTTGAATTCACTAGTACTATTTATCGCCAATATGATAATTTCTTATGCTGATTGATTAGATGTTGACTTGCTTATCCTATTGGTTTCACTGTATGCAATGAATATGCTCTGTGTACTAGACATCTCATGATTGATTACTCTCCAGTGACTGATAAGCGAGAAACTGAACTGCTTATTGACTTCACTTGTCATTTTTCTAACCAAAAAGATGAATACTCAATAGTATAGTGTTTACGTTGCCTAGGTTGAAATATTGTAGCAAACAATAACCATTTCTAGCGAAGGCTTTCAGACTTCTAATCAAAAGCTCCAAAGATGATTTTTCCTTAACTTATATTTGATAAACGCACTTTCATAACCATTTATGTATATGTGATCTCAATTCCTCTCAAAGCCAGCACATGCTAAACAAGCATTACTTGGTGGACCTAATATAACAATACCTATTACAAATGGTGAATTGGCCTTAGGCACTTGGCAAGGGATATGGCTTTGTGAACATCGAAATTCTGGTTGTAAGTTTTTCTTGCTTGGAATTTGTTTCATTCTCAACCATATTATACTACCATATATATATTGATCATCTGTATTAGACTAAAATCATGCTAGTTTTTCTATTGATGTGTTCAGTATTCCTCCCTCCACAGAAATAAAAGTTACATATCTACCATGACAAAGAAAGAAAGTTATAAATGAATCAATCTAGTATGCAATGTCTGTTATGCGAATTATAGTGAGATGTAGGACTTGTTAGACTTATTGGTCCCAGATTCGTCAAGTCAATAGCTGATATATAATCATGTGTTTGACAGGAGCTTCCCTTGAGAACTATTTTCAATGTTAAACAGTAACTTAAATTTTTAGCTATTTGCAGGTCAATTCATATTCACGAAGCCGTTTTTGTGAATGCTTGCAAAACATTTGTCATCATGCTTTCTAAAGCCCAGGAAGTATTCTTTTGAAAATACCTGATAGAGAACAAAATGACTCACGACTGCAAAATAACTACTTTTAATTCACAATGATATTTTAAGATTACAATACAATCTGCTAATTGAAAAAAGAATAAACTTTGAGTAGTAGAAACTAAAGTGTATTGTACTTGGTGTCTATCAAATTCTGCCTATTAGATGACACGATAGTGCACTTTTGTGTTTTCTATTCGGAACACGGCTGGAAGTTTCCAATCGATATTTTCTGCCTCTTGACCCTCATCAACAAGGGTTGCCTCCAACATTTAAAGCTGGTAATACGAGAGGCCACTGCGATAGTTGCTACCTTGATGTAGTAGTTGGGCTTGTATATCATAATGACCCAATGAACCTCCCCGGCTGGGACGCCAGTTGCTTGATGTTCTACCATTTAGGTGACGTCTCTTAGATAGGTAGTGGTAAGACAGGTGACTTAAACTCTCAAGTAAGAAAGCTGCGCTAGTGAGAAATGAATCTTGTAGGTGCCCACAACATTTTTAGTCAACGAACCGACAACGGTGATCGTCTGTTGCAATTTTCTTTAGACAATCATTTGTTTCTGGCCAGGACTAACTTCAGTCATAAAGAGAGACACCGTTTCACATGACGTTTACCGATATCAAACCAAATATGAACACAAATATATTATATTGCTATACGCCATCGTTGTGAGGATACTGGTGGAAGTTTGCCTCTATTTCAAAACTAATTCATTGGACTTTGTACGTACGGACGGGTGTGTGTCTGCAACGCACTGGTGGCAGAAAACAGCCAGTGGTTCAGCCTATGCGTGCTCGATTAAAAGATAAGAACATCAAGTGTGTATTTTGGGAGGAATTAGATAAGCCTTTATCTAAACATGATAGCAATCTTCATCCTGATGAAGTTCGATGTCCACTGTAGAGACGCTCATAAGAACAGTCGGTAACCTACATTCAGAGGTTAGAAAACGTTAATGGGTTTCTATGGCCTTATTTCACCTGACTGTAACCACAATAAGTAGTGGAAGCAGCTGAAACGTAAATTGACCAAGAGTCTTCATAATAATCGTGATTAATAGTAGGTATTGAAAGGGAGAGAGATGCAAAGGAAATTAGAACTGCCTTCTGCTGGTTTGTTATTCAGGCATATGAAAGAAACTGGCACGAAGAAAATAGTTATTGTTGAGACCATCACCGAAAAGGATATGTCCGTTGTAATCTCTCCTGGCACACGGCTAGAAACTTGGGTGGAAGATGTGGGAGGATAGTTACACTGGCATATTGCTACGTTTTAGTCACTCGACATTCACCTCGCATTTGATCTTAGTCCTACTACAGCTCTCCTCGAAGTTGTGAGGGCCTTTCGAAAGCTGAAATCATGCGAAGCAGTAGGACCTGGCAGTTGGCCACCAAAGGATTTTAGGTAAGGAAGAAGGAAGTTACTGAGTATAGTAATGCAGTTACTAGTTTGTCTACATGAATCAGACTTAGTTCCGTTAAAATAAATCTACTTCACTGATCATTCCAGTGCATAAGAAATGAAAGGAACCTTCTTGTGGTCACTCCTAGGAACTCAGTCTGACTAGCGCTTCAAAGATGCTTAGGTTCATAGTTATCCGATAACTAACTAGAGCTGGACAGCAACGAACTCAAGAAACCCGGGAAGGTTTCAAATGCATCAGCCAGATGTTTACTCATCTATATATTTTGAATGAAATTATTCATACTGGCTCGCGGTCGACACATCTTTTCTGACCTGAAGATGACATTTAATTCTGCAGACCGAGAGAGTTATTTCGTGTGTGTCTACCTGTGAAGAGATTACCGATCAAGTTAGTAGTGCTAATCCTATCTCTGAACTCAAAGCTATGTAGTTGCTTATGCATAGTTATCATATGGACTGTCGACAAGAAATGATGCCCGCCACTCTCTTCCAGCAGTAAACACAAAGGTTTAGTGTATCTGCTATTGTCATTGAATGACAAGTTCGAATTGTGTGACGGAATATGATTCCCACCAAGATTGTGAATGAGCCATAATATAGATTGATAAAAAGGACTCAAGCTACGTCAAAGATGTTCCTATCTACAACGGCCTGGAATTAGTCAAAACTATTGTTATTATTATTTTTCCCTTGGGTTCCTAATGCCATAAAGGGCTTCACCAGCACGCCTCCGTTTCACTCTCTTTGCAATCTTTTGGACATGGCACCACGACTGCCCACAAGCTTTCATTTCTTCCTCACTAGATCTCCTCCATGTCACCCTCGCCTCGGACGCTCAACTCGTCGTTTCCCATCTGGGTTCCACTCAACGGCCTGGCGCGCGATGTCTCAAGTCGACCTTCTCAGTGTATGCCCAATCCATCTCCACTTTCTTCGTCTGCATATTTGTTGGGCGATGGGTTCTTAGAGGGTTGGTTCGTTGCCAGTCCAGAATTTCTTGCTGCTTATTCTTGTTATTCTGGCCATCTGATCTTCAGTATTCAGTCAGCGTAGGCAGTTGTTGATGAATGTCTGTAGTTTGTTGGAAGTGCTTGTCGTGACGCACCAAATTTCTCAACCATATAACAGCATTGATATTGGTGTCAAAAATCCGGATCTTGTTCTTTACGCTGAGTGCAGTAGATCTCCACACTGGTTTCAGGTTAATGAAAGCTTGTCTTGCTTTTCCCATCCTGGTTTGGACATCCACGTCTGTGCCTGTGTCGCCTGTAGTTGAAACGATGGTGCCCTGCCTAGGTAGGTGGAAGAGACTACTTCCTTTAGGTTTCTCCCCTTGATGGTGATTGGTGCTTGTTGTTGATGCTGTTGTTGGTTGGGTATCTTCATCACACGCATCCTCTCTACATTCACTTGAAGTCACGTCTTCGCTGCCTTGCTTCTTCTGTCAACTTGTTAGTTTTCGCCTGTAGATCTTCGAGTTTGTGCGACATGAGGCATAAATTATCGGCGAAATCTAAATCTCATTGGTTCTTTTCGACGGTCCAGTCAGCGTATGCCCATCTTCTCGCTCCTCACGGTTCGTTGCATGGTCCCGTTCACTACAATCAGGAAGATTATGGGTGATAGTAGACAGCCTTATCCTACTCCAGTCTTCACTTCAAAAGCATCACTGAGCTTCCCATTGTGAATTATTTGGCATGTGGCGTCTTCATATAGCTGTTGAATGAGGTTAATAAAGATTTGTGGCACTGCATAGTGTTGAAGTAACTGGCAAATTACTTGTCGGTCGACGCTACCAAAAGCCTTTTCAGAGTCGTTGAAGTTGAGGTAGAGAGATGACTGCCATTCTATACTTTGTTCTATGATGATGTGAAGCGTTGCAATTTGATCCGCACATGATTTGTACTTCCTGAATCCAGCCTGTTCCGGTCGTAGTTTTGAATCCATTGTAAAAATATTTAAATCCCATCATGGAATATAATCCAAAGCGTCCGTTTTATATATATATATATATATATATATATATATATATATATATATATATATAACTCATGTTATATCAAGTCACTACTAGGATATAACAAGTGACAACAAGGACATAACAGGTTAGTTGGTCTGCTACACTTCGTATAAAGCAGATAATTTTACTGTACTAGGCTATATACGGTGAGAAAACTGTTTGCTTGTAGCAATCAAAAGTTTAGTAATCAAACCTTATCGAGGCACACTTTCGAAACCTGTAATCTCTGTTCCTTTAGTGAGCACTTGATTACATGAACAAAAAAGCATTTTAAAAATAGTATGCAAAAATTATACTCTCCTGAATAAACAGGATAAATGGCATCTTTACATCATTTGTGTGTTTACACTGATTATCTTTTATTTATCTTTTAGCTTCACGTCAGATAGTGGCTACAATTCAAGGGTGTCTCAGACAAGAAAATTGTGTGAACACATCTTAACATATTATCATTTGTTCATTTTGTTTATCTCTATTAAAAGCAACTAATGACAGACTTTTTTTATTGCTGTTCCTTTTCATGTCTTCGATATCTCTAATGAACTACTTTAGAATCAACTGTCTATACTCAGTCCGAAACTTTGTAATATTTGAGCTAAGAAAACCCTTTAAATCACTGGTATTACATCTGTTTTGAATTAGACAGTTCTTCTATCTTTCTTTTTTCTGAGCTTATGTTTTATGTCGTTACTTTATCGAACCCAGTCTACTATATCCTTGAGAATGAAATGTCTTGTTTATTGTATAACGAAGTAACTAGTTAACATTCGTTCTTGCTGTCTTCTATTCAGAATTTGGTCAGTATTCTAATAGAGTAGAATCGAACTTCATATAGCTGTAATTAAAAATCTCATCTTTGCTGCCAATTTCTCACTTATATACGATGTAAGTTTTCGTATTGACCGGTCGGTCAAGATCAAGATAGCACATGGCACTGCTGTGCAATGTTGCAAGTTACCACTCTTCAGACCAACAACATGCTAAGGTAAACTCCATCAAGGTGAAAGTTAGGAAGAGGAGAAAGTTATAAGAAGTAATAGGAAATCATAGGAAGCGAAGGTAGTGCAAAAATAAAATAAAATGTGCGAATGCACAATCGGTACTGTGATCGATTATTGTCACAAAGCACTGACAAGGCACACAGTAAGCTTCCCTCACAATACAAAGCAAATCTAAGTATGCAAACAAATATACCAGTTTCAGTTGTCATAAATCTCAACAACACGAAAAGGGAAAATTAGTAGAATATGGATAATCTTCAATGGAATGAACAGAACATTAAAGAGTGAAAAATTTACAACTTTATCGACTTTGATAGTGTCGACCGACAAGTAATTTGCCAGTTACTTCAACACTATGCAGTGCCACAAATCTTTATCAACCTCATTCAACAGCTATATGAAGACGCCACATGCCAAGTAATTCATAATGGGAAGCTCAGTGATGCTTTTGAAGTGAAGACTGGAGTAGGATAAGGCTGCCTACTATCACCCATAATCTTCCTGACTGTAGTGAACGGGACCATGCAGCGAACCGTGAGGAGCGAGAAGATGGGCATACGCTGACTGGACCGACGAAAAGAACCTATAAGATATAGATTTCGCCGATAATTTATGCATCATGTCGCACAAACTCGAAGATCTGCAGGCGAAAACTAACCAGTTGACAGAAGAAGCAAGGCAGTGAAGACATGACTTCAAGTGAATGTAGAGAGGACGGGTGTGATGAAGATACCCAACCAACAACAGCATCAACAACAAGCACCAATCACCATCAAGGGGAGAAACCTAAAGGAAGTAGTCTCTTCCACCTACCTAGGCAGGGCACCATCGTTTCAACTACAGGCGACACAGGCACAGACGTGGATGTCCAAACCAGGATGGGAAAAGCAAGACAAGCTTTCATTAACCTGAAACCAGTGTGGAGATCTACTGCACTCAGCGTAAAGAACAAGATCCGGATTTTTGACACCAATATCAATGCTGTTATATGGTTGAGAAATTTGGTGCGTCACGACAAGCACTTCCAACAAACTACAGACATTCATCAACAACTGCCTACGCTGACTGAATACTGAAGATCAGATGGCCAGAATAACAAGAATAAGCAGCAAGAAATTCTGGACTGGCAACGAACCAACCCTCTAAGAACCCATCGCCCAACAAATATGCAGACGAAGAAAGTGGAGATGGATTGGGCATACACTGAGAAGGTCGACTTGAGACATCGCGCGCCAGGCCGTCGAGTGGAACCCAGATGGGAAACGACGAGTTGAGCGTCCGAGGCGAGGGTGACATGGAGGAGATCTAGTGGGGAAGAAATGAAAGCTTGTGGGTAGTCGTGGTGCCAGGTCCAAAAGATTGCAAAGAGAGTGAAACGGAGGCGTGCTGGTGAAGCCCTATATTGTATTAGGAACCCAAGGGACAGATAATAATAATTTGTGTAACAAGATATACTTTGATTAACCTGTAGGGGAAGGCAATCAATACGTGTGAGAAACCGAAATAGAAGTTTTTTGAGGTATATGCTTCCCCACCACTGAATTGTTTCCACCCTAGCAGCTGTTTAAACAACCAATTAGACTTCTGCTTTTGTGGAAATTCACCGTTTTAGCCAAAATGAAGAAAGTTAATTGGTTTTTTGATCGTTACTAGGGTGGCCTTAAAAGTCGCGCAACGTAGTACGGTCAAAAATTTAATTACACCTACAGTGTTTATGAAATAAGTTGGTGTAAATAAGTGACTTTATCGGCCATTCTGGCAACTGCTGAAATAACCAATCGGGGTGGGATTCTTGGGGCGAAGGTAGTTTTTAGTAAAAATAGGCGTATTTGGTTATCTCAGCAGTTTTCGTGATGGCCTTCAAAATCACTTGTGTAGGTCCGTCTAAAAGTCAGTAAGTGAGCTATTTCTAAGACTACAGTATTCTTGAATTCCCCCCCCTACCTACTGTAAAGTAGCTAGTTGCTTTTCTTTATTTTAAACAACACTATCTTTCTGACCTAAATGAAGAAACCCGATTGGTTACTTTAGTGGTTACTAGGATGACTTTTAGAGTCACACTGTGACTAACTTGGTCTATACTCCTAATTCTGAAGGGCGTTCGCCTATAACTGTGAAATAACTTTATCATTGCTGTTTTCACACCCTTCCTACCTTTCGTTTTACCTATAGTCTCTAAAGGCTGAACTCTCAATAGTTGTTAACTTTTTTGATTTCTCGAAGAATTCAGTGTTGCCAAGATCGTTTGAAAATGTGTATGTTCAGCTTCGTCCCCTACTGTTTTGAACGTTGTTGAACCAGCAAAAGCTTCCTGTCAACGATTAGTCTTCTGTTCTTGTCTTTGCGTGTCAGTGGTATTGTTGTTGTTTTGGGTGGCATTCTGATTAGCGTTTAGAGTCGATTCGTTTGCACTTTAGGTTCGTATCGCTTGTAGACTCCTAGGCTTGTATTGTTCGTAGACCGTTAGGTCACATTACCGGTCAGGTAACTTGACTTTTCCAGGTTACTAATATCCTGTAAGGATCTCCACTTAGATCTGCACTATTTTTATTCCTCGAACAATTCGTGTATGCATTCCAACTAAAGTTAAAGAATGGATATTATTGTGTTGTCTGTCTTATTAACTTCAGTACACTTCCGATTGATGAAAGTGGGTCACAATTATTTATAATCTGCTGACCCGTTTATCCACGTACTCAGCTGAGTAGTTTGCAACGTTAGCTTTTACATGCTTAGGTCACTTCCATCCATCCATCCAGATCAACCTAGGACCAGGCATTACTGCGTAACGGTCCCAGTTGCCACACCTCATATCAGTACATTGAGTAAAAAGGCAGTAAGGCGCAAGATGAAGGTAAGAGAATGCACTCAAAAGAAATATAAAGTACGAAAAGAAAGAAAGGAAGAATGAGAAAGTGGTAAGATTCGGTGTTGCCTGATATCGGTTCCCAGCCATATCAACTGCAGTTAGTCTCCTACAACCAGTTCCTCTTCTCCCACTGACCCAAACCACCTAGTCTGCATCCCTCCCCCCCCTCCACATGGCTCAAACCAACAGTCAAACACTTCATCCATTCGTGCCACGTTTCAGTCTGCCCACCTCGAGTCTTTTTCCAGCCTGCACCTACTTCGGCCAACATTGTGTGACGTGGCAGTCGGCGACCAGGCATAGGTAGTACGTGTCCAAACCATCTCAATCGATGAAGGTACATAACCTCTTCTCCCTAAAACTCTATTCCTGACTTTTGCGTTGCTTACATGGTGACACCACGGAATACAGCCTATACTAAGAAGGCAACGGTGGTCAAACACTTGAAGCATTTTCATGTCTTCCAACTACAACGGCCATGTTTCACAGCCATACAGTAGAAGAGACCGGGCTGCTGTGCAGTATAGGCGACCCTTATTAGACAACCGGATATCACGGTGGCACCATAGGTGGTGTAAGTTGGCAAAAGCCGGTTGAGCCTTTTGTATCCCTGCAGAGATTTCATCCGCCACTGAGCCACCAGCTTAGGGCTGATCCTACTTCCCAGGTAAGTGAAGTGGTCAACACACTCAGCTATTTCACTCTCTATTATTAGCCGTTAGGTCACTTGGCAATAGAAGTATAATTTAGATACAGTTATATTTAGTCTCTATGATTAAACCTAAATGAAATATGCATCGTCGTTCCCACTTTTGTTCACTATTGCAATGACGACAGTAGGTCATGGCTTTATCATAGTATCTGTACAGGAGGATGTCATTTCAGTTCTTCGAAGTTTTATGAGTTTTCCAATAATTTCTTTCATTTAATTTTGAAGATCTATATCTCATAGGTCTGCTAAGCTGATTACCGACAGATTTTTGCCGCTTACATTTTTTCAGGTTCTACCCTCATAATAATACTCTGTCAACTGAGTAAAATAATCACGTAGAATCCTAAGCATATTTAACCCACATTCTTCGTTAACTGTTTGCTGAAGTACTCTTGTTGCATGTTAATGTAATAAACACTTTTGATTTCTTCAGATTTACTTTCTGCCGACTACTTTCTCGCTATCATAATGTTTATGTTTTCAATGTACCTGTTGATTATTGATGAAAATGTACCCGTTTTAAAGTATATTATATCATGACTAATCGATATTCCCATTATGTTATGCAAACAGATTCAATCATCTACCTAAGACAAGAAGCTAACCAAAGCATATTTGCTTCTAAATCACACGTATATCTAACGCGGAGTATTCGAGTCATAGCAATGTTATTTTACAACAATGAAGATATAATTTTTATTATCGATCCAAGTTATAAAGATATCGCAAGTTTTCGGAAAGACTACGATTATGACCTGGTAGGCAATCCTATTACTTTACGTGGTTCATTCCTTCTAAATCCGATTGGTTACCTGCACAACATCATTCAGCAATATGTATTAGAGTTAATATCTGTTAGTTTAGTATTATTTGGGTTTTTTTTCGTGACTATGTTTTTACTACATATAATTAAAAAACTAGTTAAATACATCAGGTTAATCAAACTACTTTTAAAAGAATTTAGTAACGTGAAAAGTCAATTTAAAAAAATCAATGAGGATAATTTACCTATGAACTATGATATTTATGCTAAAGCCATATTCACAGCACTCATAAGTTATTATGAATTATTTAAAGGAGAAACAAATATAATAATACCTGAAGACTTAGTCGAATATGAAATCATACGTTTTGTACTAGAAGCTGCATGGAGAAATAGTATAAGTAGTAGACAGTTACATAATGTAGATTTAAATCAATCAATTGAAGATGAACCTATTGAAGGACTGAAAGCAGATAAGAAAAATGTATTCTGTAATGATGAATGGGTAGGAATAAGACAATCGGACTTTAACAATATATCAACTGGAAATGTCGAGTTAATGAAAAGCAAAGGTAACGAAGAACTGTCGAACGATTCAACCCTGCAATCATCTTTTGGAAATGAACAACAAATGCTTATTGGTAACGACAGCCTGAACAATGAAGGTAAAACAGCTTCAGATTATGCAAACACAATGAAACCAGAGTTCGATTATTCTGAATATGGAAATAAAAATAATATTGAAATGAACACCTCTTGTTCTAAAAATATAGAATGCCTGAGTCATCCTAAAAATTTTAAAAATACCTCTGACTTTTCGTCTACATCCACTGTAAATGATGGTCTTTGGACGAGTAATAATGACATGTTCTATGAAGCTATTTCGAACTGGTTCTCGGTGTATTCCCCATTATCATCTGATCATAGCGATATGGACGAACCTGGAAAGTAGCTATACCATGTTGGTTTCTGAAATCGAATCATTGGATAGAAGTTAAGAGTGTTTCGTTTAAATGTTCAGCTTGAAATAATAATAATATTTTTCAAATTTCTAATCTTTTTTTCGAAGCAAATTAATAACTATGATAAATACTCCTAAATTGATGTTGTCGTAATTGCCAGGTTGTTAAGCAAACTCAGAAATGGTTATGATGGTATGTTAGCTTTCTGTCGAATTGAACCCAACCTCTGTTTTTGTAAAATCTGAATGCATTGTGCTTAATAATTTTAATAATTTGATGTTTATATGGAAACAAATGTATAACTCACTCATATTCAAAAAGAAAAGCGTTCAAAGTTCGAAATTATAACTGTATATTGCTATTGTTTGGTATTGATTCAGAAGAATTTAGTCAGTGTTGCTGCTTAGCATGACGTCAACGCTAAAGTAAGGAAGTCAATTTAGAAAAGGATCTTTCAAGTATCTATGGTGTCTCATGCTGGCAAAAAGGCAGTGGCATTCATCCCTAACAGTTGGTTTCTGACAATCACTTATTTGCAATTTACAGTAACTCCAAGCATGAGAACAGACACTGTCTCACCTGACATCCACTGACATTAATCTGATAGTGGATAGAGGGAAATTATATCTGTTAGTTAGTTAAAAGCTATGTGGGATCTCACATAACTGTTTAGTGGTTCATATTGCATCACTTCATATCAGCACATCAAGGTTAAAGGCACTGAGGCGAAAGAGAGGACGATAAGGAAGAAGTTATCAAAAGCAATAGAAACACGGAAATTGAGAACAAGTGGGAACATAATGAAATTCTGGATGATTACTAGGAAGAAGATAATGCGTGAGTGTATCATCGTTGCTGCATTCGATTTTGGATATCATCTACAGTCGCCAGTTATCAATGTCGATTGTCACCCTAATAACACAATGGTATCACGTCACATGTCCTATGCAACGAAGGAAACTGTGGTCGAACACCTGATTCCCCCTCAGTTCATTTATCTTTATTGATCACTTCTCATAGCCAGTGAACTGCAGTGCAGTCACATTGGTTTGTAATGGGTAGATGGGGATTACAGTGTCATAATGAATGGTGTAAATTGGGAAAGGCCAGTCTAGCCCATTGTATCCGTGCAGAAATTTCGTCAGTCAATGACCCACCCGGGTGCATCTAACTTCCCAGGCAAGTGAAATGGTCAACTCTCTAAATTAATTCACTCTCTATTATTAAACTGTCTGGTAAAGTAAACCATTACGTCAACAACAGTTAACATCTGTGTGGTGAAAAACCCAACCCATACATTCTCAAAGTGTCCAGTAGACGGGATCTTATCAGCGTCTTCATCTGACAGGACTGTGTCATCTGCGAACGCAAGGTATACTAAGGAGTCTCTTGTGACAAGTTGAATCCCTGTAAATTTAGACTAGGACAGCTAATCATATATTCTACTCGTCCTTTTCCCAGCCATAAATATTTGTTCGATAGTACGTTAGCTAAGTTGCTTAGTCGTACGCCCGAAATAACTGTCTCCACAGAAGCAGTTCAAGTGATGCATATAAATGGAAGTGGTGAGCTTCGATAACTTGTCTTTCGTTTGACTCAAAACAATTTGTTAACTAAAAAATGATAAACAGAGGCTAGTTGCAGGAAAATTTCTTTCCGTGGTCGTTGACAGTTTATGGAATGGGATCCCACTAAGTAGATCACCATTTATACTTTACTCTATGATTCATAGTTTCGTCCCGACAACTCTCACCTCAATTTTTCTACCCACTGTTTGCATATACTTTTTTATGAAATTATAAGCATAACATATTTCAGTGAATTAATTCGGAATTTACTCTATCTCATTCTGTAACGTGTCGTTTGAGCAAATTTTCTTTGCTCCGGGTGCCTCCCAAACGAGTTACATTTCTTTTTTACCGTACATGTACAGAAGAAGCGAAGAATGTGTACTGACAGGTAATTGTTCTTATTCTGTACACACTTCTGCAAAAAGCTGTCTTATCGCCTACTTATAATAGAACATCAAGAAAGTTTAACTTCTTATCATGTTCTTCTTCACAAGTGAAAGGCGTATTTTGTTGAAATTCCTCGATGGATCCTCTTTATCCATATTCTGATCTACCTTATGAATGACATTTTCTGTAATATACATTACTGAAGCGGAAGCGTAAATTCATAGTACACCTGAGAAGTAATTCCTTGATGACAGACTCAGTAATTCCAAGTTGATTCATTTTTCCGTCACTTGTTGATATGTGACCATGCATGTAGTGACACCATACATCTTCAAGTTATACTCACCTTTGTCAAACTGAACACAAGTCTAAAGACATCCTTCACACTCTGTTTTACGATTAGTTTGTGAAAGGATCTTAAGATCTGCACCAGCTATTTAAAGCCAATAAAACGGTGAGTTATACGCATCTCAAATCGCACCAAGAGGAAATTCAGACTTGTGAATTTTAGGCAGAAAATAAAGCCGTTGTATGTTTTATCCTGCGACCTGCAGTAACTAACGCAACTTCGATGAGAATATCCCATTTTGTTTCAGTTCTTTACGGTAGTCTAGCCAGTTATTCGCCCAGTACCAAGCTACGCTCAAGATGTTGTTGTTGCTGTGCTTTTCTACTTTCACTCAGAACCAAAGGTAGGCACACTTGAACTAACACGTAATGCCTGTGCAAACATCCGACTCGCCGTCTTCAGAAACTTTGACTTTCGTAGTTGCTAACTCTTGTAGAGAGTCTTGGCATATGTGATTAGTTCTAGTACACAGCATCACATCATATGATATTAATCTATTTGTTGACGTAGGATTCTCATTAGGCATATAGATTTACAACAAAATTATCTACGTGATTTCTCACCCTTTGAACACAGTTCAGCGTTCATTCGAAAGTCAGTCATTCAGTATTTTCTGGGAAATGCAAAATCATCACAAATGGCCAATTTACATGCTCAATCACTACATAATTCTACTTAATACACTGATAAAAATACAGGTTTGAAATGTCATATTCCACATCGCTCATGTCAAGAAATTGTCAAAACAAACTGAATGGAAGTTCAGAATTTGTTGTAACTTGTCCAAAGTTAAAACCTACTGTGACAAACATTGGATTGGATTCCGCCTTTTTTTATCAAATGATCCATTTATACAGCTGAATTCTCAGCTTAAAACTTCTCAACTTCATTTTAATCCATAATTAATCCAAAATTTCTACAGCTGTCAGCAGTCTACGTACTATATGACCTTGAAAAGTCATCTGACCAAATTTAAAATGTGCTTTTGTTAGAACTGATAAGCTGAGTTAGTAGTTCGCACATGCCTAAGATAATACGCTGATAAAAATGGAGAAAACCTCCAATTTCAAACATAACTCTTAATTTAACGGTTAGCCCTTTTACTTTCGAAAGAAAATTTCATAGACTTCCCCCAAAACAAATACGAAAGTTATCAGAGATTAAAATATGACGGCTGGTTCATTATTTCCCATCCTAGTTATTGATCCGGTGTATAAAGACATCAATGAATATGCAAAAGATTATGATTATGACCTATATGGTGTACCACTCTCGAAATGGAAGCTTGTCTTTAATAACCCGCATATTTATTTAAAATATTATTTAGAAAAGTATTCAATTCTGGCATATTTTTTACCCATCATTTTATTTGCTCTTTACTATATCTTATCAAACTTATTTGAATTCATTTACCTTATATATCGTAAAGTAAAAATTATTCAACAATGGAGAATAGCCAAACGTGAACAGTATAAAAAATGTCAACAAAGGTTCCACTTAAAGTTGCCTAGAACACATGATGATTTTGCATTGATCAATTACCAAGCATATATTGATTGGCATAAAGTCACCGGTAGGAATTCTAAACTATCTACCCTTCCAGTAAACTTACCAGATTATGAATGTTTACGCTTTGTATTGGATAATTCATGGCCGTTTCTATCTGCCTTGAAAACATTAGAAGAGGATGTCCATTGTTATTTTGATCCAGAAGTGATAGAAGGTAAAGCAGAAAATACTGATCCTTATGGGCCACAACAAAGACGAAACAGACTGAAACGCTTAGTGACTCAACGTAAAGCACGCTTTAAAGTTGACAATTATGATATAAACTCATCTGATAGTTCTACAGGATCAACAGAAGGAATGAAAGAAATTGATATACAGGCACTGGAAGATCAAGGTTGGATAGAAGAATATAAGTGGAGAGTAAGAATGGCCTTGTTACAGGCGCAAAGATATGAAAGAAGAAGACACTATCCGTCTGTGTCATGGCAGTTCTCTGCGAACTTTGTTGAAGGTACCGAAGAGAAAAAAGGAGAGATGGGAAGTCAAAATAATACAAAAAGTGACGAGAAAGTAGATACTAACTCAGCAAAAGTAGGCGCGAATGATTTTGATGATCACATGAATAAGAGAAAGGCATATAACTCAAGGAAACAAAGAAATCTATTCTCATGTCAGTCTAATATAACCAGCGGATCATTGGTAGCTATATATGATAGTGATGAAAACCACTTTAAAACACATTAATCACCAGACGATACTATAAGATGTCAACATAAGCAACGATCAACTAATTTTTGTACACCATTATACACATGAAATACTGAAGAAGTATCACTTCAAGGTTCATGTTTGTCTCGTCTTCATTTATTACCAAATGCTCGTAACCGATCACTATGTGAATTAAACTACTGCCGTTACACCAAAAGATACAACAAACGTAAATTTTCAGAAGAAAATATAAGAAGATAACAAGAAATATTCAATGAAATAGATTCTTGTTAACGTTTAAAGAGGTTATCAACTGAGTAAACTTGCTGTTTTCGAAAACTTTTGTAAAAATGTCTGTGTAGTGAATGACTGAACATTTACCTAACTAAGGTCATATCATGCATAAAGTAGGCTGTTGATAATCCATTTAATGCACAATATACTCTTGAAATGCCAATTAATGACTTTTCAAGCCTAAAGCTTATTGAACCAAGTTAGTTCATGAGTGTTTTTGACTAGCTGAACCATCGTAGATTGAAACTTCTCATCAGAACTGTGAGCCTATCACGCTAAGTAGGATTTAACTCAGAAACGTTATATCTTAAGACATGCGGATGTTCACTTAACGACTGAGTTAGGTTCCAAAGACTTCTATCAGCTTTCGATTTAGTGTGACTACCATTTGATGTCATCAGTGAATATCTTTCCTCATATCCGCTTTGTTTGATCCCATACGTTAAGGTTTCCTATTGAAACTTAGGTAAATCCTCCGTGAAGGAAGTCACTACTGAGTGCTGGATTTTCATTCACTTAAAAGTGGCTTTCAAAAATAGCTTGACTTCAATGCATTTTACATCAGAGAACAATTGTTCGCTTTTAAATTAATTTGAGGATACATCTAACAGACTAACTTCATAAGCATGTAAAACTTCGATGACTATATCTTAGTGATTAAATCCAACTAAGTTGCATTGAATAGAACGATCCATATTTACTTTACATAGTGAGTCATTCAGTAAGTTTTCTATTTAGGAATAAGAACTACAACGTGTTACAGCTTACTGTAAAGAAATGAGTGAGTGTGGATGTTGTCAGTCATTTAGCTTACAAAAGGTAGGGGAATGGTTATAGCTAACACTTAGGAAAGTATAAAAAATATTTCAATAAATTGTTACATATGCTTACTACTTGTGCATAAGCTTAAACTTACTGCGACGATACTGTTTTTTTTAAACGTAGATTAAAATAGATAGTCAAAATGTCACTTCGGCTAAACGGAATCAGCTGACATACTGCGATCAAATGATGATTATCTCCAAGCAAAATGAATGAAGATGAAAAGACAAAATCCCCGTATAAGTGACAGTGCATACGTTCCCAAATAAAACAAATAAAGACTTCCATAGCATCGATAAAAAAGAACAACCTGAACGACGAATATTCTTCTCAATAAACTCACTTAAGTTTCTACAATTCTAAAATGTATTTATACTGCGTGAAATCAAGCCATGTTAGGGGAAGGTATATTTTAAAAATAGGGTAAGATTTAGGGATTGTTTCCGGTCGGGGGGCAAAATATATTGAATGACGAAAGGAAGTTAATTAATACACACACATTTGTGGTTAGAGTAGGAAAATAGACAGGAGATTATGAAATTAAATGTAATTACGTAAAACAGGATGAATGTACGGCAAAGTAGGAAACTGAACGAAGGATTATGGAGATAAAATTGTGATTATATAATACCGGATAAACCTATGACAGAGTATGAGAATAAACAGAGGATCATGAAAATAAGATTGTAATTACGTAATGCAGGTTCAATCTGATATAAAATGAATCTGTGGCAGATAGAGCTTTATGATGGCCATGGCAAATATAAAGGTTGAACGTACCTTATTTGCACTCATAACGCTGGTTTGAACTTCTGGATGGCTAATGCTTCAGCAATAGACAGATACCATGATTTTATTTCCTTCAAGTGGTTTGATCGAATCCTGTAGAGAATTTTGAATGAGCTCTCGAAAGGAGCTAAGTGGCCTGAGTTCACGAGGTGTTCCGTTATCGAACTGAAGATGTATTTCCGTTCTCCTTTTTCAAGCCAGGCTGGGTTGTGTTCGCGAACACGTTTTACAAGCGGCACCAAATGTCTTTGTTCACTTGGGTTCTTTGGCTTTATGTTCTTATCTATGAATTTGAACTGAAACCCGTTTTCCGCCAGAGTTCGTCGTAGTATTTGCAGTTCTTTGTCAACCCTGTCCTCAGTACATATTTTCCTGATCCTCGAGGAAAGTAAATGCATAAGATTTCTTTTCCTGCATAGGGGGACTGAACTCCATCAGCCATTTTGCGATTAAATGGTATGGAGAATTTATCATATCTAGTATTGGAGGGAGTGGGATGCCTTCTTAGTGTATTTTAGAGAGAGCGTATAGGCGATAGTCCGTAGAACCTAATGGGGGAAGTTGTCGATGTACTTCTTTGCTAAAGAATGATTCATCTCTCATTTTCTTCAATGTTTTCGACAATTGCAGCTCTGTTTGCTCAGTAGGATCTTTCTGTGTTGTCTGTTTTAAGAATTTTTTTTCATCGGATAGAATGAGCGAGAGTTTTTCCAAATAGTCTGATTTGTTTAGTAGTACTATTCAAGAGCCTTTTTCCGGGCGTATCATGACGAAATTTTCATTTTTCTTCAGTTCAGTTAATTGATTCCGATGTTCTTTTGATAAGAGATGTGGATAGCTGGGTTTTCTGTCCAGACAGCAATTTAACACTGTTGATTTGAAATGGTTAGCATCATCGTATGAAACTGGAACCTAATCCTTGATTTGACTTATAAGATTTTCGAACTGGACTTTTGTGTGGAGCTCGTCGACTTTTGAAGTTACATCACAGAATTTAGGTCCAAGTGACAGTATCTGCATTTGAACTGGGGATAGTGATATATTAGAAAAATTGAATACATATTTTTCAGGACACGACGGAAAGGCTGTTTCTTTAGTTATAGACTTCAAGCTTTTACATAGCTTCAGGTTGACTTCATTCTTTCGCTTCTTAGTAATAGTAGCAACGTAGTTCTCAAATTCTGTTCTTTCATTGGCAAATAATTCGAAAAGAGCGTATGATTTTTGTGACAGATTATGTTCAAGCTCTGGCAGTCTGGAACGGACAGCGTCAATGTGGTTGAGAGTGTGTCACTTCAACGTACGTGAGTTGGGAGAAATGTGATTTCGTCTGAGATTCTTTCAAAACATTCTGGGATACTCATGTTTGTCTGAACATTTCTTTCAGAAGTATATTTTCGCATTCGCTTTGGCAAGTTTGACGGAAAAACGCAGAAACTTGTCTAGCTCCATCACCGTCACACGGTACTTGCCAGTCTTTAAAAAACGGAATACACCCATTTGATCATAAGAAAAGACAAGAGGTGGTAACACGTATTCACGAATGTATAGCTTAGTAAACGATTTCGTCGAAAAGAAAATTTTTTTTACTCTGAAGCCACGTCTTGTCTTTTCCTATGATCGAATGGGTGTATTCCGTTATTTAGGGATTGTAAAGAAAACGATTTTTCGTTTTCAAATTTGTCAGTATTAGATGATACAGAAACAAATGAATGATGTGATATTGAATAAAAAGATAAAGAATAAAAAGGCAGGAATGACCTTTAGTATACTGAAGGCCAAGGGAGAAGTTATGCTTGAACATTAACTCTGAATGCGCAATTCAGGTTTGATCAATCCAGTTGCGATAGCCTCCGCTATGTTAGGCAGGTACTGGCGAGCTATACTTGGTATCGTTTCTGGAAGCAATCGCAACTGGATTGATCAAACCTGAATTGTGCATTCAGAGTTAATGTTCAAGCATAACTTCTCCCTTGGCCTTCAGTATACTAAAGGTCATTCCTGCCTTTTTATTCTTTATCTTTTTATTCAATATCACATCATTCATTTGTTTCTGTATCATCTAATACTGACAAATTTGAAAACGAAAAATCGTTTTCTTTACCATTTGTCGTTCGGGTTGTTCCTTTTTATCATAGATCATTTCCGAAATAAAGGTTACTATATCAACCACTGAAACAACGGATTCGGTTTCCCACTAACAATACTATCTTTGTACACAATATAAAAAACCTAACAGATTATTCCAGTGGTTACTGGAGGATCTTTTGTACTCACCCAAATAAAACATCTGGAAACGTCGTAAACCATAACTTCAGAAAACTATCAAGGCATCACTTTATTTTAACAGTCTTTCTTCAACTGCTTACAACCTTAGTTCATTGGAAACAAGCTTCGTTGGTAATGTAGTGGGAGATCATATATAAGAATTCATAGGAAATGAGAAGTCAAATCAAAATATCGTGATCCTATGGGTTTTGCAACTGAAATTTCTCTCAAAAACAACAGGAGTAACAATAAACTATCATGAGAATGTAAGATTAAATGAGTGGATTAACGACGAATAGGTTACCAAATTTGTGAAATTTAGTAAGGTGAATTTAATTAGCTGAAAGTATGTATGAAGCTTACGAGCTTTATAAATCACGCTATAAAACCCAGAGTGAAAGTTATGATATGCACCTAATAAGAAAGATGTGGTTCAATAACTGCAAAACTTGTGATTTTAGGTTATCAAGGTGTAAAGACAAAATGCCAGGAGTTTCCTTTCGAATACATAAATCAAGCTTCGGACGTTTGACAGTTATGGCTTCAAGAAATCCTGGGGTATTTGATCCACTATGTTTGAAAGAATTCCTCCAGTCTACCTGGTGTCCTGTATCATTTTAGCTACAATTATCTGCACTATTATGGGCTAATCTTTTTTAAATGGTTAGCAATTCGAAAAGTATTAAGAAAACATGACTTGGCCCTTTTTCAGTTTTTCCAATGAGCCTGAAATGGGAATTCCTTATCAGAGTAGTCGATTCGATACAGCAAACAACGACACAATATTATTGGCTAGACAATGATTCGAGCATAATTCAGGACTCATATTCATATGACTACATGCTTGATAAATTACATAAATT